GAACAGTTCTTCTCTGAAAAAAAGAACATTGATATATGGGGAAACTTGACACCTTGCGACCCGGGATAATAAGCTAACGTTAGGACTTTCCTACCCTCTCTGTTCCAGGTCCTGTTCAAGCGCAAACCCGTTCAATACCTTCCTCGACCAACCATTGAAGATGATAGAGAGGAGGTGCGTACTACATACTCCTCCCTCTCCTCGTTTTCCGTTTCCTCATCCACATCTATGGATATTGGTCTAATGTATGGGGTTATTTTGTCGTCACAATACACACAGGTCTGGGTTATTCCAGAAACAAATGAGGTGTTCACGATGTATGAGCAGTTCCTTCATAGGTAAGCTTCTTCGGTAGAACTTCGCAATGATGATTATGCACTGCGCAAATTGCTGACATGTCTGCAATGTGCAGGATGAACTTTTACAAACAGGTACATGCAACCTTTCTCAATCAAGGCTTCAGAGTCTTTTCTGATTGCAGTCGCATTCCTCATATATCCTCCTTCCCATTTTGAAGAACTTGGTTACATACATTCGAGCTGTATCGATATACTAAATAAGGCTACTTGAGGTACACAGAGACGATTCATCTGCGAAATAACGGGTCACTCCTCCCTTACCTTTTTCGAGGCTTTGAGGAGTGAAGTATGTCGCATACCAACTTCATCCCACCACTGTGATTTCTAGAGTGATGTTTCCGCTTGCTCTACTTACTGACTTGCCCAACAGGCGGACGGTTCGCGCGAAGTGAACAGCGCATTTCCGGAACCTCTGAAGGAACCTGTGTTGCGCAAAGTCCAATTTTCCACTATATCGCGCATTGACAGTCTTGGTATGTTAGCCCTTTCCTAATATTAAGAAATCTAGTTCCGAAGCTGATCGCAATGTCTTATTTTTTTTTTTTTAAAAAAAAAAATAGTCGACCAAGTTTTCGAAGTATGTCCCTTCTGGCGCCCGTTCTACAAACTCTGTATTATATAATTGACAAATCAAAGGACTTCAAGCAAGATTTCTACCCTGGCGAACGCGTTACCGTCCTCCTCACCAACGGATCCCGCCTCCAGGGCATAGTTCGGGAAAAAGCCCGGTTTCCTGAATTGGTCAATGAAGATGGTACGATAGAGCGAAGAGCGTCATCGAGATATTTGGTGAAATTGGTAAACCGGCACAATGAGGAGGCGTTGTTGGACGATGAACACCTAGTTCGTGACCGGAAGATCTTTACAAAGCAGATGCTACGCTCCTTCATCAAAAATACCGTTACACGGGAGTCGTGGACTGGCGCACCATGGCTGGTTAAACCGCATATTGCTGAGGAATACAGGATCGATACGGAAATTCCAAAACACCTTCAATATGGAAATAAGATTGGAGGAAAGAAAGCAAATGTGGCAGTGGACAAAGAAGAGGATGAAAGCCTCTTTGGGTTCTTTTATTCCAAACAGCGGTGGCCGAACTTGAAACCTGCCGTCAAGGGCCAGAAGACAAAAATCACGGTGCGGGACCTGGCAAAGGCCAGAGAAGATCAATACTTAGAATACCAGCGGGCGCTGAATGAAAACCCTTCGTTTGCTGTTCCTGGGCACGTCGGTCCGGGAGGAGTGTGGCAGATGCCTGGAGGTGACGCCAATTTATATGCTAATGTTTCCGTCGTCGTTCAAAATGGGGTCGCCCCGCCACCTCCTCCACCTTCGATTAAATACCCGATTGAAGATTTAGAAATCCCACCTTCTCGTGATGCTAAACCACGACCCCCTTTGAAGTTCTTAACCGATGAGCAGCAGGGCAAACCGGGGATGGAAGACGGCCTCTTAATTGGTTCCATTAAGATGGAATCGGTTGGACCTATGCTCGAAACCTGGAACACACTTAATGTGTATTGCGAGGTTCTCCAGCTCGACTCCTTCACGTTTGATGATTTCGTCGAGGCCATAATGTTTTCTTCGAATGACGTCACATGTGAGCTCTTTGTGGAAATCCATTGTGCCGTATTGAAAACGCTGGTGAGCGGTGAGAAGGACCAAGATGGTGCCATTCAGATCTCCCTTCCGCCCCTTCCTGATGAACAATCAGAGGAAGAGGAGAGTGGTGAAGACGACGAGGAAGAAGAAAATGAAGAACCAGAACCCGAGCGAGAGCCAACACCGCCACGAAGAACGACCAGAAGCAGCTTTGCTAAGGCTGAAGCGGAAAATCTGAAGCTGCAGCAACAACAGCAGGAATCGCGGAGTCGTTCGAGTACAGCTGAGGTGCAGGTTCATCGCGCAGCAGAGATGTTTGGAGAGTATGGCTGGATTGATCGGCTTCGGAAACGAGACTTCAAACAGGGTGGATGGGAATTAGTGATGGTTGGCCTTCTACATAGACTGTCCTACCGACCGCGGTTACAAAAGTCGTGCGATGAGATCCTGGCTCATCTGGCACCCCTTGACCGCGAACACCACGCAGCAAACAGCACAAGAACAATATGTGACGCTCGACGTTAATTTGCGAGTTCAAGCACTGCAGATTATCTGTATGCTTCTTCTTGAAACGAAGGCGATTAAGAACTACCTTGAAGAATGCAGTAATCAGATGACTGAGTTTCGCAAGGAGAAGATTGAGTATCAACGTGCAAGGAAGGCGGCGTATGTATACATTTACAGATTACTTTTTACATTCTATATTCTCCTTGTTTTTGCAGAGCAAACTAAACTCTTTCTATAGTCTGGAGGAAATCCGACGATTACACGAAGAGCGCAAACAACTACAACCTGAACACCCCCCTTCCCCTGTTCCTGAACTAGAAGATCTTAACGACGTTAAAATGTCTAACCTGGACGAAGCTGAATCCTCCGAAGCCCCCGTCGACACGGACGACGAAGACGCACATCCTGCCCGCTCCCTTCGTCGCGGTGCAGATAGGGCCGCAGAGCGGAAACGGCGACAAGAAGAGGAGCGCGAGCGTAAAGAGCAAGCTGCCAAGATCCCCAAGGGATCAAAACAGTATCAACGCGTGCTGAAGAAGATCGACGAGGAAAAGGCCAAAGTGGCTTCTTATGAGGAGCAGATTGCCGTGTTGGATAATGACCTGCGCGAAGCAGATTGTCCGCGCACACGCGTGTTGGGGAAGGATCGCTTTTGGAATCGGTATTATTGGTTCGAGAGGAATGCGATGCCGTATGAAGGGTTGCCTAGTAGCTCGACGGCGGATGCTGGATATGCAAATGGACGATTGTGGGTGCAGGGGCCCGACGAGATGGAGAGGGAAGGGTTTATCGATTTGGGTGATGAGGATGAGGAGAATTTGAGGTATGTGCGGCGGTTCGGGATGAGTGTTCGGAAACGGAAGGAAGTTGAGGAGGGTGAGAAGGGTGTTTCTGGGGCGCGCGAGTGGGGATATTATGACGACCAGGAGGAGTTGGAAGGGCTTATTGAGTGGTTGGATACGAGGGGGGTGAGGGAGGCCAAATTGAGGAAGGAGTTGCAGGTTTATCGCGAAAGTATTGCAAGGTATATGAGGAATAGGGCGGGGTATATTGGGAAAGAGTTGGGCGGTGGAAAGGGGAAGAAGGACAATGTAAAGGATGAGGAGGATGCTTCTCCTGCAGCAATAGCTGAGGAGCAGCCCCAGCAACAGCGGCCGCAGCAGCCGACGAGAATGTCCACCCGCACCAAATCGGCCGTCGATACCGAACGGCATGGCAACGGTGATCTAACGCGCAAATACCGCTGTCTGCGCTGGACGAATAGCACTGCATTGAGTGAGAATGGGCATTTGCACGTTGAGCCTGCGCGGCCGACAAAGAAGGCGAAGAGGGGTGCGGTTGCGGATGAGCATCATGATGGGAAAGGGGAGGGGAAGGGGGCGGGTGCGGGTGCGGGTGCGAATCGGCAGGGGAAGCTGCTGACGAGATAAGGGGGAGGGAGTTGTTAGGTGAGAATTTGGATGAAACGCTGCTGATTCGGGTCGATGGGGGTGGTGGACCATTGCGCTTGGGTGAATTTGGTTGCCCGTTTATTTTCTTGGAAAAGTCCGTACAGCCCGTTTTAGCATCCCACCGACGTTTATGATACGGGTGACGGTTTTGTTCTTTGGTGATGAGTCTCGCCCTGACCAAACCCCCTCTCTACCCCTTGGCCCCTTATTTGGCGAACAGCTGCACTGTACATGTACTTACTGTTCTTGTCATTTTTTCTTTTCTGCCTTCCCACCTTTCCTTCTTTTCTTTTCCCACTTTCACTATTTTCATTTTACTCTTGTGTGGGGTTTTCTTGATAATCTTGTCTTCTCTGATTCCTGTTATCAGGGCACTTTCATGCATTCTATGGCGTATTCCCCCCCCACCATTGGATTACTTTTAGCTCTGCTTCTGATTATGTGGTCCTTTTCTCATGCTATTGGCATTGCAGGTTTTGACGGAAGCGGGTTTTATTTTATTTTGGATTTACTCTTTTGATCATGAAGTTTTCCACTTATTTATTTGTTATCGGTTATTTATCCTTTAGGACGGATCGAATTCTTGGGAAATAAAAAGAGAAAACGGGATGAATGGAGGCTTGTTCTGCATCTTCTTTTGGAGAAGAATTTTCAGTTTTGAGCGATTGGATAGATTTTTTTTTTTTCTCATCTAGGCCTTTCCTCCCCATCTATTTATCGCATACATACATACATATATATATATATACTTTCCGCTGGATTTAGCTTGTCTACGACCCACCAAGTTTGAATGTTGATATTGATACTTTATGTTGTTATTGATACTGATATTCAGCCATTCATCTTGCTTCCTTGCACAGTTCTTGCCTGACGTCACCACCATCACGTGATTCACTTGTCCCTTAATGTATCAGGGAATCCCCCACCCTGTTTCTAACAATACCAATAACCCTAACTAACTAACTAACTAACTAGGTTAGTTAATAACTAGGTTAGTTAACTAACTATAGTTAGTAACAAAGTATTGCAGCTGAATAATCGCAAGATTTTGGTTATGAATGTCTCGTCGTTTACCAAGATCTCCGCAAGTCACATGACCTGTAGCCCAAACGAAACAAATCATCCGAATCCGACGCCAGCCGCAGGATTTTTGGTATTTTCCCTGTTTTCTACCGATACAAAGAGTATGTTTTCTTCCCCACCGCTAAAAGGGTACACAGCGCGACTGAACGCACCGCGAAGACTTAAAATGTACGAGAGACTGATCCACTCTCTGCAGAATTAAGTTGCACCTTTCCCCACGATGCAATATTCCTGCGATCGGCGACTCCATTGCGAAACCTGAGCTGCATAACCCCGCATCACCACAACGGGCCAGTCCGAAAAGAAAGTGGAAGAAGAAGCAGAAGGAGAAATGCTGGCGAAGATAGCTATATGCCACTTCGTTGTTTTACCTTCTCTACCTCATTTTGACAGAGCAGTGATATCAGAAGAGATGTGTTGGTAGAGAGGGAACCTCTCCTCTGATTGGAATTTTTTTTTTTTTTTTTTTTTTTTTTTAGTTGAACGGAGGTGGCTTAGTTAGTTACCCGAGGTTCGGGATTAAGATAGACCAACTTCGACGACGTCACACTCATAGCTGCAGGTGCAGGGACAGCAATTGCAACCGCAATTGCAATCGCATACGAATACACATACATATCCTCTCAGTATTCCATCACAGAAACGAGAGCTGCGACTTCGACGACAAGATCAGAAACGTTGATTCAGGAGAACTTAAACCCGCGGTACGGCATTGACAGCTGGACTGGCATAGACGCCATACCTGGGTCATTGATGGCTACTCCCCTGGGAATGCTGAGGGGAAAGAATGCGGCGGGAGAGCATGAGCTCCATGTTTCCCAAGCTCCCCCGCCAGTTTGTCCAGTTGACGATGAGGCTATTGATCTGATGAAGAAGGCGGGGGTCGAGCGGGGGGATGAAGCTGGAGCTGAAGCTGTGGGTGCGAACCCAGATGTCAAGGTTCTAAATACGAGGAATTTGGATTATATTCTTAAAAGCGGGTTGGCCGGGGGGATGGCAGGGTGTGCGGTATAGATTTCCCTGTTTCTTCTATCACAAGCAGTCTGGCTTGGTTCTGCATGGGTATCTCCAAACTAACCATGTCAATCAACACAGGCAAAAACAGTAGTGGGGCCCCTAGACCGCGTCAAAATCCTCTTTCAAACGTCAAACCCGCAGTTCGCGAGATACTCCACGAGCTGGTTCGGTGTCGCACGCGCCATGCAGGACATCAACAGAAACGAAGGCATGCGCGGACTCTTCAAGGGACACTCAGCAACACTGCTCCGCATCTTCCCCTACGCTGCCATCAAGTTCCTAGCCTACGAGCAGATCCGCGCCATCGTGATCCCGTCGCGAGGCAAGGAGACGCCCTTTCGCAGATTGATCAGCGGAAGCCTGGCGGGCATTACGTCCGTATTCTTCACCTATCCGCTTGAGGTGATGCGGGTGCACTTGGCGTTTGAGACGAAGCATGGCATCCGCGCGTCCCTGAGGAGGATTTGCAGGCAGATCTATAACGAGGGTAGACCTGGCGTGGCTACGGCTACGGCTACGACTAGGGCTACTTCTGCACCAATCCCACCTACATCGTCGCCAGACGGTTTCTTCACCAACTCCCCACACCCCCCACGACCCGTCTGGGGCCTCTCAAACTTCTACCGCGGCTTCTCTCCCACACTCCTGGGAATGCTCCCCTATGCCGGCATGTCCTTCCTTACCCACGACACCATGGGCGACTTGCTCCGCCACCCCATACTAGCACCCTACACTACAATCCCTCACTCCGAAAACCTCACCACAACCACAACCACAACCACCGCCTCCTCCTCCTCGTCGCAACCCCAACCTTACAAACACGTCCAACTAAAAGCCTCCGCCGAACTCTTCTCCGGCGCCGTCGCTGGCCTCGTCTCGCAAACCAGCTCGTATCCGTTGGAAGTCATCCGGCGGCGGATGCAGGTGGCAGGCACGATGGGTGATGGGCATAAAGTGGGTATTGCGGAGACAGCGAGGAGGATCTTTGCTGAGAAGGGGTTTAGGGGGTTTTGGGTTGGGTTGACGATTGGGTATATGAAGGTTGTGCCTATGGTGGCGACGAGTTTCTTTGTTTATGAGAGGGCGAAGTGGTGGTTGGGGATTTAAGTCAGAGCGATGGATTTTCTCTTCAAGGGAGAAAAAGATGGGTGGGATATTGAATGAGTTGATGAATGCGGGTGATTTGGATGAATGTTTTATTTGCATTGCGCGAGATGGGAATTTTCTGGGGCTTTTAGATTTTTTCTTCTTTCTTCTTTTTCTTTTTCTTTTTCTTTTTCTTTTTTTTACTTTGGCTATGTTTGTATTTGTTTCTCGCCTAGTAGGACATATCTAGATTTTCCCTTTTTCTTGTTGTATGCTTTGCATTTGGCACGTTTGTATATGGGCAGCTGCACATACGTCATGTTTTGCGATGGTAATCTTATTTGGCTTCTCTGTCCGCGTCGGCAATGGTATTTCTTTTCCCATTCTCTGTGTTCTCTCTGCACCTCATTTTCTTTACAGGGTGGCTGACAGGTTTGCTAAGCCTCCTGTTCTTGTACATTGACGATTAGATCTACCTTGCAATGCATATATATATTCTGCACTGTAGAATGGGGATTCATGCCACAGGATCAAAATATGGAAATATAATATTGATGATGTAATTTTCGTGGTAGTATCTTAGGCTATCTGCTCACGTATATGATGATCGTGTAGTGTAAATAGTGTACATGTAATCCGACAACCAAGTCCCCAATCCAAATGAAATCTACATGCTAGCCAACAACCCATATCTCTTCCACCCCATAAGAAGAGTACAACAATCCACAAACATATTTAAGAAATTAAACAAGCACCCGCCTCAACCCCTCCGAACCCCCCAACACCTTTCGTCCCGTAACCGCACACCTCCCTTTCCCACTTTCCCATCTCCCAACCCGACTCCTAGTGCCTGCGGCAGCTATTCCCTTCTCCGTACCTCCAACACGACTAGAACCGGTTTGCTCTCCTTCCTCCTTATTCTTCTCTTCATCCTCATCATCCCCCCACTCTGCCCCCTCCCCATTCATAAAGTCAAGCTGCCTCTCATGCTCCCCTTTGATCCAACGGAATATACAGCTGTAGCAAAAGACATACCCGGTCTGGCAGGCAGTTGGGTTATTGAGCGGATGAAGACATATGGGACAAGGCGATTGTGTGGCAACAGCGGTAGGATCTGATGTAGCAGCGGGGTCGATGGGGGGTAATGGCACAGTGAAGATGGGGAGGTATGATGTGGAAGATATGGGAGGGCTAGGAAATCTCCGGGTATGTGTTTGTGACTGCGCAAGGTTTTCAGAGGAACTCGTAACTGCCTTTTGTCCTTTGCCAGCAAGTGCAGACGCTGTCGCTGCTTTGGGCGATATCATGCCCGAAACGACCGGGGCGGGCAGGTCGATTGCCTCTGTCGCTTTGCGAGCGAGTTGTCGTGAGAAATCGCTCGCATGCCACCATTCCAGAAACTTTAAGGCGAAAATGGAGGTTGGGAGAAAGAATTTTAACGGTCCTAGGAGATGAGGGTATATGTTTTGCGGACTTAGGAAACTTATCGCACCACCCGGGCGGGTGGCGGGAGTATTCGACTTCGCCTTTGGAGGCTGCATAGCTAGCTCTATTGCAGCGTGATCTGCGGGTCCCAGCCGCCGTATCCGCGTGCCTATCAGCCACAGGAATGGAGAGGAGTATTTCGTGTTCCCGAATAGATAGGCCAGATTGAAGGCCAGGATGGCAAAGTAATACGCTGCGTTCACCGACGGGTAGACGTTTCTCAGGAACCATTTGTAATAGTGCATCAGCCTTTGGCGCACGGTAGGATTGTGCGGGAGATCGGCGTCAGGTTGATACCGTGGTCCTCCTCCGCTGGCGGCCAGCGCAGCATGCGGAGCAGCGTGGATGTCATACCCTTCATCCAGCTTGCGTTTCAGATACGGAATCCCAACCATCACCGCCAGGTTCTTCCATATATCTGACGAGCGAAGTTTGAGTGTTTCACGCACAGGGGCCGCAGCGCCGAGCTGGGCGCGTGGGATTTCACCACTTTTTGTCGCGAGGACACGCTCGCGTTTCAGCGAGTAGAAGTTTTCTGTGAAGGAGCCGCCAAATGTGAGGAGGTAGTAGCGTTCGACAAGGAGAGAGAGGAGGGTGTAGAGCTCATCGAAGGAGTTGAGGGCGCGGAGGAGGTAGCGGGGGTGTCGGTGTGTGGCTACAGCGAGGATGTAGCGGAGGGAGGGCGGGAGGAGGGCAGACAGCTGTTGCTCCGAGAGAATTTCTGGGAAATAAGTCAGTATGGAGCACGCAAAGATCAGGAGGTTGCGCGGAATTAGTGTTTTTGAGGTATGTAGAGGTAGATCTTGGGAGGGATGCGGAAGAGGTGGCTTACCGAACAACGACGGTTTGAAATCATCAAACTCATTCTGCAGGGAGGACATATACTCCATATTGGCAGACTAATAACCCCAATTATCGGGCTGAAAGACTCAACACAGCTTGTGCCTGTAAAAGCGCTGTGTCGTTGGTATCCCAAGAAGCACCGGAAGTTGAGATTCTAGGGCCACAAATAGCCGAGGCATCTCTAGATCTAGTGTTAACTAACTAACGGATGATGACTCAGCAGAATCAGTGGTCTTGAAAATTAAGGTCAAGTTCTATATATGATCTTATATGCAAATTCTTATCATTGTTCTGTGAAAGGAAAAAAATGGGGCATATAAACTAGTTTTCTGGCAGTGTGCCCAGCTCTGTCTGAATCAGACGCTCCTTTCGCTCGTTCATTTTTTGATTTTGTATTGCAGTTCGACAGTGATGCCACGTCTTGACGATCAGAGCCGGCAAATTATGCTGGACTGTGTCGTCTATATCTGGATATGCGAGGGCAATACATTTTGACACAACCTCTGCCAGCTCAGCATCAAAGAAAACTGGCGGGTCTTCCCTCCACATCATTGGAATACAGTTCAAAAGTGTGGTCCTGGACTGTTGCCAATCCCCCAATTCTGCGTGGAGATTGAAGAGAAACAGATAAAACGATTTCCCTCGATGAATGCCTGCAAGGGCTACTTCACCCCATGCATTCCAGAATTTCGCATACTCGCCCTGGTCGGAGTGCACACGAAGTATGTCTAAGTATTCTTTCTCTCCCAGTGCAACTTTCGCAGCTCTAATAATGCTAGCTAGGCGCGTCTGAATGCGCTGCACAGACTCGAATTCGTCGATAGAAACAGGAATGCGATTTCCGGTAATTGCCGCACTGTGGAGATTTCCCGGCTTCACCGCATACACTCTCGTCCTATATGAGACGGCAAGGAAGACTCTGATGAGGAAGTCTGCATGTAGGATATTGGTGCCCCTGAGAGCTGCATTCTCTATAAGTCGCAATGCCAATTCCATATCTGCACCGGGAAGACGTAGTCTTGGGGGATTCGAGTTTGGATCAGGTTTGAATGCGAGCAACGCATCTAGAATCCGCAAGACTAGAGCCCGCGGTAAAGGGTAATTTGAAACGATATGCTCCTTGAATGCTTGAAAGAGGTCCTCTTTGCGATAGCCAGAATGTTGAAGGAGGATTGCAGTACACATAAGTTCTAGTTTTTGGGCGGAGGCGATTTGGGGAGCAGTTCTTGCGAGTTCTTCGTAGAATCTCTGTAAAAAGCTTGTAGAAGTTCTATCGTCCATCCCTTGCCCCAGTTCATCGATAGCTTTATCTGGTTCGAGATTTGATAAATAGTTGAAAAGGGATGGTAGCGATTCCTGACTCGAGGTTGATTTAGCAGATTTGGTTGCTACCGTTGTGTCTGTGGGAACAAAATCCGTGGCAGATCCTCTCTTATCTCGTAGCCGATGCAAACTTGTAGATATACTCCTCAGTTGTTCATAGTTGGCTCGAATTGGGGGTGTTTGGCTAACTCGATGGCTGAAGTCAGCCGCTGTAACAGTTGAAGACTCATGAGTAAAACCCACCACTTGTGGAGGCTCTTCCGCCTGAGGTTTGGGGAGGCCTGGATTATCCATGGAATTTTTTTCAAGAGTCTGACGCCAAAGACTCTCCAAGTCAATTTCTTCCCTCTTCTCCTCCGTCATCATTTGGACAACAATTCGAGTACCCTGAATAACAGTTCCGAAACCAACAAACCCAGCCTTTTGCACCCCCTCTGGCTTGCTAAGTTGACCACCTTCAACAATTCCTACATCGACACATATCCAACCGGTTGTAATGCCATCATCTGGTTGTTTAAGGGTTGATCCGGCACGCTTGATTAGCCTTGCTCGCCGAGCTTTTCTTCGGAGTTTGATTTTTAGCTCGTTCCTCCCCAGAAGGCCATCAGCATCAGGTCGTAACTTATAGGTAGTCCGTAACCATCGACAAAATTTATCCGCTGACACATTGAGATGTTTGACGCTGCGAGCGGTCCCAAAAATCATAATCAGATTTGCTCCCAGAGCAGGGGGGGGATCGAGTGTGCGAAGGTCGAGAAGGTTGAGATTATCGAGGCCAATATCAACAGATATGTACTCAAGAAGAACTTTTAGAATTGGGGGTGGATTTTCTGGAAGAGGAGGTAACTCTTGCTGCTGTCTCATCGGGTGTAGTGCCATCTCTTGCACCTCTTCCTGCAGGTACCAAGGGACATGTTGCTCGGAATTTTCTTGTGGATATGAGCCCTCTTGGGCAGCGGAGTTTTCAGATACTGCATCAGCAGCCAGGGAGGGATCGTCTTTGGCCTGGCTTGAGAAAAGCTTCACATGCCGGGTTGGAAAGCTTCCAGATAGATGTGGAGGGTGGGCTTTAGATGGCGAAACTGAACCAATCGCTGGAGGAGTAATTGTCACGCCAGAAGCAGAAACAAAGGATCGAATGACATTCTGACGGCAGGCATGGCATTGAATACCTCTTAGAAGGACCCTGCTCATTGCGAAAGGCTCTGTTACCACCAATTGGAGATGTCATTTCAGATCGTTATTAGTTTGCAATACGAAAAAAAGAGTAAAAATGATTAAGGAGAGAGCCAGAGCGTCGGTAGAATATAAATCCGCCATGTTGACTAATCCAGTATTATCTTGGAAAATTACCTTTGATATTATTTTGCTTTGAATATCTTTTATAACTTACTTACAACACACTCCAAACTACACTTATCTTGAATTTGTCTCCTTATTACCGCCATCATGTCAATGGACTTGGATTCCCATGTGTCGATGCAGCAGGTTGCTTTCCATCCACAGCAACAGACAGCAACGTAAGTGCCCTGGCAACTTTCCCCCACATACTAAAGCCGAGAAAATAGCAGCAATAGTCTAAATTTATATCATTCAGGATCCTTTGCTGTAACTGCGGAGCTCCCGTCGACGGAACAAATGCCGCTGGCGCCCTATGCGAAGATTGCGTCAAGTTGACAGTTGATATATCACAAGGAATACAGCGAGAAGCCACGCTGCACTGCTGCAAGGACTGCGAGCGCTGGCTACAGCCTCCAAACCAGTGGATTAGTGCCGCCATCGAGTCCAGAGAATTGCTTGCACTATGTCTACGGAAATTACGTGGATTGGGCAAGGTGCGAATTATCGATGCTGGGTTCATATGGACAGAACCGCATTCGAAGCGTATCAAGGTTAAAATTACGGTTCAACAGGAGGCATTCCAGGGCACTATTATGCAGCAAACGTTCGAAGTGGAGTATGTGGTGGCATCTCAGCAGTGCTCCGAGTGCGCCAAGTCATACACACCCAACACGTGGAGGGCATTGGTTCAAGTTCGGCAGAAAGTGCCTCACAAACGAACGTTCCTGTACCTCGAGCAGCTGATTTTGAAACACTCCGCCCACAAGGATACGATAAACATCAAAGAAGCCAAGGACGGTTTGGATTTCTTTTTCTCCCAACGAAACCACGCCGAGAAGCTGGTAGACTTCCTCTCTTCGGTAGCGCCAGTTCGTGTCAAGAAGTCGCAAGAGCTCATATCTGTGGATGTGCACACGTCTACAAAGTCATACAAAATCACATTCTCCGTTTACCTGATACCCATTTGCAAAGACGATTTGGTTGCACTTCCCTTATCCCTGGCGAAATCGTTAAGTAACATCCACCCCCTTACCCTGTGTTATCGCGTGGGCACATCGATTGGTTTGCTGGACCCAGCCACCTTGCGAACCGCCGATATTCCGTCGCCAGTATATTGGAGAACCCCGTTTAAGAACCTGGCGGACGTCCGAGAACTTGTTGAATTCATTGTCATGGACATCGAACCTGCTGGGAAATCAGTTGGACACTTTCACCTCGCTGAAGCGACGGTTGCCCGCGCATCCGACCTCGGATCCAATGACACGACTTACTTCACGAGAACGCATCTTGGTGGGGTCCTCCGTGTAGGGGATTCTGTGATGGGGTATCTGTTGACCGGGTCGAACTTCAACGATTCGAACTTCGAGGCCTTGGAGCGGAGTGGCACATATAGCTCCACCATACCGGACGTGGTGCTCGTCAAGAAACACTATCCCAGGAAGAAGAAGGCCAAGAGAAACTGGCGTCTGAAGCGCCTGAACCGCGAGGAAGAGGCGGCTACGGCTTCAGCGCGGAAACAAGAGAAGGATCTTTTGGAGGAAGACTTCGAAATGTTCCTGCGGGATGTGGAAGAGGATGCGGAGTTGAGGAGTACACTGGCACTCTACAAGGCTAAGAGGGTTCAGGTGGAGGCTGATCGCATGGAGGGTATTGAGAGGGATGCAATGAGCGTTGTTGAGGAAGAAGAAGATGATGAGGATGGCGTTCCCAAGATTAGTATGGATGAGCTGCTGGATGATTTCGAAGATTTGAATGTTGAGGATTGAAGGGTGTTCAAGTTGTTTACTTTCTTCTTTATAGAGACGACCCGATATTTGCATTTACGATGACTGGCCATTGGCGTTAGGGGATGGGTAATAGTTGATATGTTCAAAGCGAAAACCTGTGCCTTCGTTTCCACTTGGGATGGAATAATTAGGGATGATTAGGTTGGGGGATTATCATGACAAAAAAGTTCAAACAGCATTTGGGCGGTATATAGAATAGCAAATAAATATAGGATTTCAATATCCTTCTAAAAACATATCCAGTCCTAAATTCGACACAGACAACCACTCAATAAATAAATCAATAAATAAAATACAACCCCCTAAAATATCTTCCCCAACACCCTCTTCACATCCGCATCCAACGCCTTCTCCCCATCCTTTCCACCAGCCCGAACCTCATTCTGCCTAAACACTCTCCTAACATCAATGCCAGCCATTCCACTACCATCACCATCACCATCACCATCCACCCCCTGCTTTCCCTTCTCCCTCCCCTTCTCAACCCTCTTCCTCCTAATCCCCTCAACGACCCTCCCCCTCTCCACCCCGTCCACAAACACCCTCTCCTCCCTCCGAGCCCTCGCATCCTCAATCCGCCTCCTAGCCTCCCTCTCGGACCTCTCCCGCTGAACTTGCTCCATCAGATCCCCCCACTTAAAGCCGCGCAGGTACTTCATAGTCCACACGTCGTCGTGGTACCAGCCGCCCTTCTTGCCGCCGACGATGGTGGCGTTGAGGGTCTGCGCGCAGATCTTGGCGGTGCGCTTGGAGGCGAATTCGACCCAACCGTCTGTGTAGGTGCGGCGGCGGTTGGTGGTGGGGCGTTTGGAGGTGGAGGGGCGGGGCGTGTGCGGGGATAGGAAGATTTTGGTGATGGGGCTGAAGCCTCGCTGGGTTAGGAGGGATTTTAGAGCGGAGGGTTTGAGGTAGGGTGGGAGCGAGGAGAAGTAGATGACGCCTGTTTTGTCTTTGCGGGGTTTTAGGGATTTGGGTTTGGTTGTTGCTGTTGCTGTTGTTGCTGCTGCTGCTGCTGCTGCTGTTGTTGTTGTTGTTGAGATGTCTTTGCGGCGTGTTTTCTCCTCGTTCTCGTCCTCGTCCGCTCCCCCCTCCACTTCATCGCTGCGTTTCACAAATGTCTCTGCATCGCCCATAGCTGCTGCCTCGTTATCCCCATCGCCAACCCCATCCTCCCCCTCGCCGCTATCCGCATCCTCAAATACCTTCCTCCTCTTCCTCTCTCGTCCCATCACCGTCCCCAATGTTGTATTCCGCCCTTTCCCCTTAGCCTCCTGCACCGCCTCAGAATCATAGCCCCCCTCACTCCCCTCGCCTTCACTCGACTCGATGTCAAGATATTCGTTCCGTTTCCGCGCCGCCATGATTGTCGATCGTGTGTGTATTGATTGTAGCCTCCCGCCCGTTCGCTCGGGCTTGATTTGAGTATGTAGAGTATAAAGCCCACAGAAGCTAATTCGTAGAGGGGTTGTATGATTTTTTGCTGGGGTTTCCTTAGCAGTTTATGTGTTTTGATGTGTTTTGTTGCGAGGGAAAAGTTTCTGGAGAGTGTTTTTTTGGGATGTTGCGGAGATAAATTAGGTGGCCCGTGCATCCGCAACTGTAACCATCTCAGCAAAGAGTCCAGAGACAAAAGTTAGAAAGTGAAATGAATTCAGCATTAACCTGAACCAAACTGAGAAAATTGAGCCCAAAGAAGAAATTTAAATCCAGGTATTCATTAAGTAAGAATAGAGAAGAATAAACCGCATCCAACCACCTGAACTCCACGCTCATCCTCATCTGGAAGCAGAAATAAAAATACACCCGAACCCAAACGCGCACATGGAGGATATGGATATAAAACAATTCAACCAATCCAACCAAATCCCAATAATAATAACAATAAGCCAATTCACTGCCAAGGGCCAAAAGAAAAGAAAAACCGAAGCACTCCTACTCCTCCACCCCCATCGCCACGTCCTCCGCAATCCGATACCTCCTCCCCCTTTTCCCAAACACAATCTCCGGCTTCCTCTCCGCAAGATCCAAAATGGTCTGCGCAAACATACTGTTCGCCCATGCAAACCAACTCCGCGTGTACTCACTGACATTGTTCACATTAACACTCTCGTGGACAAGACCCAGCAAACTCGCATTCCGCACCATGCCGAGAGATTGGATGATCTCTTCGTCGTCCGTCGATGTGCGTGCGCGGGTGAGGACGGACATGGGCCAGGCGGATTGGAGGCCAACTGGTTTTCATCTGTAATTAGAGCAGGTTTTATACATATATAGATAGGAGAGAGATGGTGGGTACTAAGATATTGGGTGCTGGAATAAAAAAAAAAAAAAAAAAAGGCCGTACCGTGCGGGCCCCCAACCCCCTCAAACGCCTCCCCGACCAAATAATACGGATTGCCAGCCTTCTCCAACACCATCCTCCTCGTATTCCTGTAAACGTCATCCCCAACCTTGCCAAAGCCAAGCAACGGTAACGAGAGCAACGACGGCAGATTCGCATCGTCCATCAACACCTGCGATCCATAGCCGTCCACCTCATACGCATACACATGTCCATACTTGGGATGCCTGACGATGCCGTATTCACGAATCCCGCGCTCGATGGTAGCTGCTCTCTGGCGGAGTGTCTTGATGAGGTCCTCGGGGCCCTTGGCGGCTCTGATGGTGTCGGCGGTCCGACGGAGTTCGACGGACATCTGTGCGTTGGCGGGGATGAAGAAGCCAAATATGGTAGCGTCGTCGCTGGGGCGGAAGGCCGAGCGAACGAGACCGGTTCCGTTGTTAAGGGGGTTCCCGATCCCGCCCAGGTTCAGCGTTTCGGTTCCCAGAGTTGTTTGGCGCAGGAATGTGTATTCGTTTCGTCCGTACCTGCCGTTTTCGGAGTCGAAGGTTGGTTGGGACTGTTCGTCGATGACGCGCAGGATGGTGTGGACGGCTCTGTACCAGCGAGGGGTGACGAAGGCGGTGGATTGGGTTGAGGCGTAGAATTTGTTGGAGAGGGCGAGGAATGAGGCGAGGGAGTCGAGTTCGTACTTGCATTCGAAGGCAACGGAGCGTTCGTAGACTGGGTGGACAATGTCGTGCTGGGGGGTTAGGACGGGGTTCAGCTTGGAGGGGGGAGGGGGTTGGAAGGCGTTGCAGTAAGGGGCTTGGAGGATGAATTCGGTCTGGGTGTTTATGGCGCCGTGGATGAGGGTCTGGAGGGCTGGGTCCTTTTTGGCGAGGGACTGGTATTGGGTGAGTTGGTTTGCGGAGTCGCGGAGCCATTCAGCGTTTATGTCGCCGGTTACTATGAAGGACTGAGGGCCCTGCCAGGGTTCGTCACTTGGAAGAGTGACAGGGGGTTTCTTTTTGGGCTTCTTGGGCTTCTTGGGAGGTGGGGACAGGAGAGATTCGGAGCCCTTTGTGTGCCAGCGGACGGTGGTATCGAGGGTATTGGGGAATGCGTTGCGGAATATCTGGGCGAGGTCCTTGTCTACCATGCGGGACGTGACCTCTTCGATGACCTGTTCGACGGCCGGGGAGACAAACGTGCGGCAGGCTTCGACGGGGCGCTGGAAGGGGAGTTTCAGGGGGCCGTCGGAGTACGGGCCGCTGCATTTTCCAAAAGATCAGTGAGAAATGGTATTTCCACGGACCAAAAAGGGGGGGGGGGGGGGGGAGGCAACGTCAACAATCATATATTGTGGAACGACTCAACTGTTTGACCGCAGAGTATTCGGCGTAGTCGGGACATGCGTCCATGAGCGATTGCCGGCTATCTTGGAGGTAGTGTTGTCCATGGGCATCAGCTGCCCGAGCACTGTTGGAGCAGACGAGCAAAGCCAGCACTGCAGCACGCGAAGGAAGCTTCATGGCTGCGTGAGCTCTATATATCGTAGTCGTAGCTGTAGTTGTAGTTGTAGTCGTAGTCGAGTCGAGTCGAGTCGAGTCGTGTCGTGTCGTGTCGTGTCGTGTGGTAGTCGTAGGCGTAGCCGTAGTTTGTAGAGCAGGATGCAGTGTGTATGCAGTACGGTGCGAGGAACGGTGCAGGACGTGTGCAGTATGAGATATCAGAGAGAGAGAGGATGTGCGACAGGCGCAGTCAGAAGGCCCGCCGAAGAGTCTGCGCGGGGGAATGCTGGGGGAGTGGGTTGTAATGAGACATCCAGCATCCGCGGAGGTAGGTCACAAGGCAAGCACAGAAGGAATGGAAACGCGGGCGCCAGTGGGATTAAGTCCCCAAGAGAGCCGTGAACGGGGATCGTGTGGTGGGGTCAAGGAGTGTGGATTGGTAACGGGAACGGACACAACCTTGGGGCGGAGAACCGAGAACCGAGAACTGGGAGCTTTATCCAAGCACGGAAAACTGTAAACTACGTGATTCCCCAGCTGCTACGTACATACTACAGTTAACAACAACAACAAAAACAACAAAAACAACAACAACAACAACAACAACAACAACACAGCAGCAGCAGCAGCAGCAGCCACCGCCACCACCACTTCTACAACTCCAATACTACTACTACTCCTCCTACTACTACTACTACTCCACTACTCCACTGCTCCTCCTGCTCTACCACTGCTACTCCTTCCAAGCCAGATGCGACGGTCAACAAACACAACCGCAGCTTGAGAACTTAGCAAAGCCGGGTCAGAATGGGCTGAACGGGCAGAAGGGGCAGAAGGGCCCTGCTCCCGACAACTGGCCTGTCCTGCCCAAACAACGCAGGGTCCGAATGTCTGTGGTGCTGCCGTCTGCTCCTGGGGCTCTGGTGTCTCTCTCTCCTTTCCTCACATTCTCATCTCTCTTCTCAATGTACTACATGTCTAGAAGAATATGAGGGCAATCCCGCTCTATGGTGCTCTGTGCTGGTGGGACGAGCTGCACGGGGCATATTCAGATTCGAGATGGGAGTCTGCGAGTCTGCGAGCTGCTCTGCTTTCCGCTTGGGGTTCCTACACCTACGTATGGCGTGAAGGGGCCAAGGGGGAAGAAAGTGAGGGAAGAGGGCTGGAGTTGGGGAATCATACAAATGTAGACTTAAAAAATAAAAATAAAAATAAAAATTACTTCTTCCCAAAAAACGACGTGATGCTCCCCTGCCCCGTTTTTGCCCCTCCCCGGCCACCAGCAGGCTTCGCGTGGACCGCAACGACCGGCTTCCGCCTCGCAACGGACGGAGCGTCGTCTTCTGAAAACGACTCCCAGACAGGCTGCTCTTCCGTGACTGCACGTGCGTAGCGGGGTGTTTTTGTAAGCGCTGGGAACGGGAATATCTCTCACGGTGCATTTTTGCAGCAGGGAAGCAAGGGAGGATGACAGGGATGGCAATGACAAATGGAAGGTGAAGAAGGTGATTATACGAACTTAGGAATCCGTCTTCATCCATCGCCGTTGTCTTCTTCATGACTTGCCGCCGCCCTCGCCTTCGTCCCTTGGTAGCGGGAGCGGATGCTTCCTTTTCCTTGTCCTTTTCCTTTCCCTTTTCCTTTCCCTCTTCCTCTTCCTCTTCCTCTTCCTCTCCGGCTTTAGACTGGGGGGATTGCAGTGTTTCGACGGCTTCACAACTTTGGGGGGGTGGTGGCTCGGGCGCGTCGGCCATTTCTTCATCTTCTTTATAGTCAGCACGTGCAAGAACTCCCTGGAAAACATATATATATATATATATATATGCATGTACATACCATCCATCATCTTCCACAGCTTCTCTTCTCTCTCCCTCCTCGACTCCCGCTTGGAGGAACTGCTTCTCGTCCCCGTGTCGAGGAACAAGTCCTCCCGCTCTTCCTCAGACGAATCATCCAGCATAACTGGTGCATGTTAGCAATATGAAACAGAGCAAAGCTATTCCAGGAAATTACTGAAATATGGGCAAGGGAGAGAATTAGAATGAGAAACGTCGACATGCCATCTTCGGGTCCACTGGGTTCAGCCTATGCAGAGAGTCAGCATCATTTAGCATATTCATCCGAAAATTGCTTAGTTGATACACACCGATTCCACCTCAGGAGTCTCCTTCTTAACCTTAGCTTTGGACCGGGCAAACGCTTGGAATATATTCCCGCTTACCCCCCGCTTCAGCGAGCTAGATCCGCTCTCCGCGGCTGTTGCTGCCCCTTGCCATGAGGGTACCCGGGATGAGGGTTGCGACGTTGCATCCTTAGCCCGCGCCGGTGGCAGCGGAGGGACCTCTTGTTTCGTGGGCCTGGATGGCTCTTCTGCGTTCACTGGCTTTGGCTTTGGCTTTGTGATCGCTGCAGCTGGTGCGGCTGGTGGAGGAGCTGGCGGCGGAACTCCTGATCGCCGCTGTTTTTTTTTTGTAGAAACGATCAGTAGGTGGGTGCTGAGGCGGGAGGTAGAAAAATAATTACAAAAATAAATACAGAGCTCAGAATTGGAAGCCCTACCATGACGTTCTTGTTCAGGATCATGCCGTATATTTTTCCGTATTCGAGGGGATCCTCTATTTGGGACTCAAAAATATCATGCCCGATGTCACTCATAACGTTCAAGTCCTGCACCCGCGTGGGTTGGACGCTATGCATGAATATTGAAAATATTGTTTGGAATTGGCTCTTGGCTTCTGCCATTGGATCTTATCAGCCTTCTATCTATAAATATATGACAGTTGTTGACGGTGAGTACGGCCAAATGACACACATACCGGATAAATCCTCCTCGCGGACTAATGTGGTGGAAGTCACTGGGGGAGAATCCTCAGTGTCATCTTCTTGAAACCCTGTTTGGCTGCTCAGAAATGGACTGCATTGCATAATGTCATCATCGCCATCCTTTTTGGCGTCTCCGTTCAAGACATGATGCCGTTGGGTAGGGAGCCGAGTGCCTGTGATGAGATAAGTTGCGTGGACACTCTGCGGCTTCTTGGAGTTCTCCACACGGTGGAATTCGTAGAGCATTCTTTACATGGCTGATCAGTACAAATAAGTCCACCTCTCCACTGGCGGTATGCGATTGGAAAAAGAGCGAACCGTTTTGCCAAGTTGGAGTGGACTTTGAGAGCCCTGCTCAATGAGCGATACGTGACCTGGTCATTTTCAATGCGTTACTTCGAGTGTTTGAAGCTGCCATTTGCGGTTGCTGGGAGCTTACAATTTCTTGTTCGTTGATGACCTTTTCGGCTAGGTATTTCTTATAATGGGCAGCCATCGTGAGCTGTATTCTAATTTCATTTCGTTTGATCTTGTTGTTATTTGCTACTTTGAAAACCTGATCCGATATCGAACATCGCCCCGGATTAACGCGTCTTAGTCATCGAGTCTTGGCACCTATCTGCCTATCAGACTCTTATCATCTCGACTACGGTTTGATTTCGGTTTGATTTCGGTTTGATTTCGAGTGTTGAATATGCATTTTGGTTGGTAAAAGACAGGCGGTTCTACTTTATACACCGGCAATACATTATATACGGTTGGAGGAGCTAGCGATTTTACTCTGTAAGTATACGTTGGAGATCACCCTCTTTTGTTCCAGCTCCGTTAGTTATCCAACTGCACCATTAAAAGAGCCCCTTAAATGGATCATGGCTGCGACATCCCCGACTCCACAGATTGGCTCAGCACACCCATCCCCAAGCTCTCCCGTGTAGAATCCGCTCTACGATGTCAAGTATGCAAAGACTTCTTCGATAACCCCGTCATCACCTCTTGCTCGCATACCTTCTGCTCGCTATGTATCCGCCGCTGCCTCAGTACAGAGGGCAAATGTCCCGCGTGCAGAAGTGGGGACCAGGAACTCAAGCTGCGACGGAACTGGGCTATGCAGGAGATGGTGGACTCATTTAAGCTGGCTAGACCTAGTGTTTTGGAGTTTGCGAGGAGCGCTACTGTGAGGCGGGACCAGGGCGGGGAAGAAGAGGACGGCGTGGAAATGCCGATGGCGAAGAGGAGGAAGATAGAGACTGCAACGACGACGACATCGTTGGGGCTGGAGAAGGGCAAGGCAGCAATGGGCGCTGATGGGAGGAGGACACGTTCGCAGAGCAAAAGGACTGAGGATCGGGCTCAACAGGTGCAAGTGGAGGTTATTGAAGATACGGAAGATGAAGACTTTGAGCCAGGTAGGATCCCTGCAGGCAGCTGCAATTCGTGGTAGATATGTTCTGCAGGCTAATCATACCAAGATGACGGCCTTGTCGCATGCCCTATCTGCAGCAGAAGAATGAAAAATGAGGCTGTTTTCACACATTTGGATACCTGCACTGGGTCTCCGGCGTCACCAAAAACCTCGTCATCATTTGGGTAAGTCTACGAGAATTCTATAGTGCTATATATCAGAGCATAACCCTCACTAACTTTTTTTTTTTTTTTTCAAGACCCTTACGAACCCCCGCCCTTCCGCCCCAACAATCAGTTCCAGCACATAATCTAAAACGTCTCCCAACAATAAACTATTCACTCCTAAAGGAGACGGTCCTGCGGCGGAAGCTCAAGGAGCTAGGGATCCCCGAATGGGGACCCAAACCTCTCCTGCAGAAGAGGCACACAGAATGGATGAACATATGGAATGCAAACTGTGATTCCAGGGTCCCGAAACCAAAACGCGAATTGCTCAGGGAACTCGATATATGGGAACGGACGCAAGGCGGTCAGGCACCGACCGTTTCCAGCCTCGCAACTTCTCATTCAGTCATGCGGAAGGATTTCGATGCCTCCGCGTGGTCCACGACGCATGCTGATGACTACAAAACGCTCATCGCCAGCGCGCGCATGAAAAAGGCGCAAATTGCTCACGTTACCCTACGCAAGCCGCCATCGCCAGATAACGAAACTGCGGATAGCAATGAAGATCATACATCCGACTCGACTGTTGCTGGACAGACTTCACCGGGCAGCCAACGCCACAAGCAGAAAGTCGAGCTTGAACCGAAGCGTCATTCGTTAGCTGGTGGGGTAAATGAGATTAATGGAGAAGCTAACAGTACTGGCATGGAGCCTGATAGACCGCCAATTGTAGAAGACGCCGTGGCATGACTCGGCTTTCTCTCCATTTTTAATGATATGATTGTATCCTAGCGCTCTGACGTTTCATGAATAACGAATATCTCCCTAGATATAAGATGTAGCCGTGGTTCCAAGGTTTTCGCCATTATCCAAGGACTATCTATTTCGCCGGAACCTGTCTAGGCTCCTTCGCCGTTGTATCAAGAGTCTTTGAAGTGTCTTCAATGGACATCTGCGAAAGCTTTCCAATGCTATCTTCGAGGTCAGAGTCGTAATCGACTGGCTGTGATGAAGCCGTATACTCCTGCTCAGCTTTGCGCTGCGCCTCAGCTTCAACCTTAGCCGCTGGTTTCCCTAGTTGTTCTAGTTCCGCCAATTTCCATCGTGTAGCCTCTGCTTCTTTGGTCTCACGTGCTTCCTGCTCCTTGGCTTCCATCTCCACAAGCTCATCGTCCAACTCCCCTTCATCGATCGCAGGTCCAACCTCATTAATGATATTTCCAATTTCGTCGACTCGAGCCATCTCTTCTCGTAGCTCTTCCACAGCGTCTTCGACCATTTCGACTCCGCCGACTTGGGCATGCAACGATCGAAGTACGCCGGTGCTGGCTTGCATTACTCGTACAATATCTATTTGGTCTGTCGCCTGCTCCAATTTCATATACACTTCTTCGAGTTGGAGTAAAGTGTCTGTCCGCCGCTTGAGATTGTTTTCTGCCATCTTTTTCGACCGCAACGCGGATAGAGCGACAACGCGGTTTTTATCAGCTACTGCATTTTTTGCTCTGAGTGATAGTTCCTTGATTTTTGATTCTAGGTTTGCGACCTGTCCGGATAGATTTGATATCAGCGTCTTCAACGATGCGATTGTCCGGTCTTCGTGTGTTATTGTCTTGGTATTGTTTTTGGAGCTCTCAAATTTGATTGTCTAGCGGTTTATTAGTATATATACACATATATCTTCAACAATAAAGTACAGAAGCAGTGGTGTTCTTACCTCTCCATCATAAATAATTGCATTTTCATCCCTGGATAGGAATATAAGGAGGACATCGAAATCCAAATTAGATAACACAGCTTTCCCACCTAATATATCTGCGAATTGTTTCGTAAATAGCTCCTTGGAATATATGTAGTCCGTATTGGACATGTGTGATTTTGCGCCGGCCGCAATGACTCGTTTTGCAACTTCCTAGTAATATAAACATGAGAACCCAGTTAGAAGAGAAGGGTGCACATGGAGCAACGTGCCCGACCTAGCACGGGGATTTTTATCGGGGGGAAGATCGAGGAGAGGTGTTATAGCAACGCACCTTTAAATTATCCACCAAAACTAAGTTCATTGTTTGTAGCTTTTCTGAACCATCCGAATTGCCCTCAAAAGGGAGGAAACCTTTTATCTGCCTCATGCTCCAGCCCATGACTTGTGATATTGTGGGAGGTGAAGGGAGGCATAACCATGTCGATTTGAAGGGGCTAGTAGAGCTCATCTGGAAGGTATCGAGTGGTATCATGGAATTCGACCGCATAGCTTCGTCCTACAAACCCAAGTTGAAAACCAAATAAGCAAGGTAGCCGCTACGGATCACGCGAAAGAATTCAAGGAACAACAGAAGATTGGCATATATAAGAAAAGGCCACAACTAAGACATACAATTGCACTCTGCAAAGCCACTGGGCGTCCCCATTCCGTCGTCTCTAGCTCTTCCATGAGAGCGTCACCCACCCTCAGCACGAGTAAATTACTTTTGACTGCAGTCTTTTCGACACCATTGTGTTTACCTCCCGGTGAAGCATGTATAACACCTGCAAGAGCAGCATGAGCTAGCGCCCGCTGCCATGCCGTAATGTTTATTTCGTATCCATCCGGATTGGTATACCGCTGGGTAGAAAAGTCTGAATACAGGGAGGGAAGTCGAGCTCTGTATTATGTGTTGTCTATTAGCTTCTGCGAATAGTAAACATGGGTTTATATAATGGACGGCTGACCTTCGGAAAGACTCCTCATTTGCAAGGATATATGCTAGAAGCTCGCTCATAGCTGTCGTGTAGGATGTGGTGCTTGATGCAGCTAGTGAAGATTTCACTGCCTGGCTGCACTTGGTATTTCAGCGCATAATCACTGTTCGCTATGTTCTCTTGGAAGAGATCTTGTCAGAGAAATATATTCATTCTTGTTATTGTGAAGGATTGCCCGGATTAGCCAGACGTCACTTTCTAGTTATATCGATAAGCGCGACAAGCATTGGGGTCACGTGGATTTCTACCAGGCATATAGAGGAGAACTGGTGATTATCGAAAGGAGCAATTAAAGTCTGATATATTCGAGGATTGGAATAACTATGTGATTATGCTATAGTAGATGCTGCGGATATTATCCTTCGAACGCCCTGAAACGCCCCTTCGCAAAAAAAAGATTCCTGCTCTAACATATGTCGCATATTAAATTTGATATTACCTCCCAAATGCCCCATAATATTTGTTTCAATCAGATCATCTTAACTGTTCGAAATCATCATTTCGTGGGCTTTCGTCATCTGATTTTAAGCGGGTAACATTTAAAGGCGCTGCCTCCAGCGGGTTCACTCCTCCGATTAACGACTTCCGATGGTTGCGTTTATCGAGTTTCTCGCTCGTCTCTTCTGTGTTAAAATTGATTGGACTCGATACTTCGGCTTCACTATTAAGGCCTCGAGATTCGAGGTATCCGATTTGCACGGCATTCCGTAGATTGTCGATGAACTGTTGCATTTCTGGCAGAAGCACCTTTCCTTTATCCAATGCTTCGCTATAAAGGCGGTCCGACTCCTCAAGGCAAATAGATGCAAGATTTGGTTTTCCTTGCTTTAGCCAAGAGTCCGCAGCAAGAATGGTCCACATTCCAGCTTTCCTTCGGCGTATTCCCCATTTCGCACTCCCGAATCCCGTTTTGGAGGCATAGCACGCAGACACTCGCTCGGATATAAGAATCCGTCCAGTGTCACCCACAAGACCCATATCAAGGATTCGTATAGCCCACTTTGCGGCAGCATCAGAGGCCGAACCACCACGAGATTTCAAGAGTTCCACACCGAGAACAAGGGTTCGTAATGCGTTCTGAGCATCAGAACATCTAGTAAGATACGAGTAGCTAGCAGTATCCAGGAGTTGGTCGATAGATTCAAGCTTTGTTTTCGCTGTTGACGCTAACGGGTTTAATAATGTGCTCACAGCACACATTTCATGGGCACCAGCCTGATGCCTCCAGGCTTTATCATGTCCAAAATCAGACTTCACAAGTTCATAGATTGAGGATGCAAGCTTCCAGTCGCGGAGCATGAATGCAAAATCCGCTAACTTTCGTAATATTGCTTCCGGCGCATCAGGTTTATAGAATCCTTGAAGAGAATCATAATTGCTCCCTGAACCGGCACCATAAGTTCCGCTAGGGGACCTCGTGCTTGCTCCGAATCCGGCCCAGCGCCTAGACATGGACATAAATCGACCACTCAAACCTCTTCTTCGAGAGGCAACTTGGTCATTCCAGAGCGCCACTCGGTTTTCCATATGGGGAATTACAGACTGGGCGACCATTTCCCGAACGAATGCTTTGATGGCAGTGAGGTCCGATTCAAAGAGATATGAACCTTCGGTCTCAACATCAATCAGGGCTTCTACACGGATATTAGCTAGCATATTTTGGTCGGTTCGTAGGAAAATGTACGCACCTTGTTCACCTAGCTGCCGGAGGTCCTCGGCTGGAGTTAGCCATTCGCAAGACGGGAAATGCGTGCTATCATCGTCTGTTATGACGCATTGATTGCTCCGCAGTCGTAAAAGATGGCAGTGGAGCCCAAAGTGCCGTTTCATTTGATCAAATAATGCCGTTGATTGTGCGATATCATCTCTGTCTTCATCATGAACAAGCACGTAGTATCGAAGATATTCAGGATGCACCCATGGCGGTGGACGCTTGTCACCCTGGCTTGTATGAGCATATAGCTGACGCAATGATTCAAGAGGTGAAGGTGTATGGGAACTTATGACAATAACACAGGCGACAGGATGTGCGAACGTTTCGTGAGGCGCCGGGTACGTCGTCGAGAGCAACCGTCTGAGAAATGATTTGTAGTATGGAGAAGCTAGGGGTAAATCGCCGTGTCCGCTGTCGCCACCTCGAGTCCAGCCTGCCAATGGGTCAACGACGGAGTGGACACGCCTGTTGAGCACCTGTTCTATCTGAATAAGAGATGGAGCGGGATCCGTTTGGCTGGACTCTGCGGGATTCTTTTTCGTATCCAAGTCAACAAAACGGACCCCGAAATCCTCCCAAGTGCGACTCGAGCCCACCCCATCCCGTATAACTATCTTCCCTGTAATCCTTTCCCCAAACGGTCGTATCAACTCGTGGAAGCCATTCTTGAATCCTTTCTGCCGTACGAGCGCATCCGTGTCTGGAGACGCATATACACCGACAACGGGGGAAAATGACCGAACTATTAGAGAGCGGATGTCATCTGTAGTATCAACTTGGAATCCTAGCGGTGATACGGCACTTGAGCGGGGAATTTGAGAGGCGGAATGCGACAACCTCCCATTGGGAGATACGGTTCTAGGGGATAGTTCGGACGAACGCCGTTCCGGAGGAGAGTCGGTCAGAATGGACTCTGATAGCGAAGAGATCACCGGCTGGGTGGTCTGAATCTTCTCTGGGTATCTGGCTTTGGAGACATTGAGGGCGGCTCCGGGTGAGAAGGACGGCGGAGGCTTGACTGGCGTAACATCGTCCGGTGATGTCATGGACACCTCGGGGACTCGATCGAATGGAGAAAATGACGGGTATCTATAATAGCATGTACAGTAGACGGGGGGCAGATAGAGATTAGTGGATTATATATAGAGGTGCTGTATGCTGCTGTGGGACGATGCCGTTGATGGGTTGTTTACTTAACAAATTTAAGGACAAGCGGCGAGGATCAGCCCAAAAAAAGATCACTAACTACGTTGCGTTGCGTCCGTGATAAAATTACTTTACTTCATATTTGACTGCCACCACCAACCCGAATATTTTTAATATCCAAAATCTACTACAACTCTGGTCAATCTGCAATTGATGAGATAACAAGGAGCAATGTGAATATAAACAATAAATATGCAGATCCAGCGCCTCTATGGCATCTTCCGGAATTTTTTAAATAGCTACTCGTCACCATAATGAGACAGGCCATCATCTTCTCCCGTTGAGCAACGCATTCCCAGATGACCCTTCGTTTCTCATCGCCAACCTTGCACTGCACCCAGCTCACCTCCCATCGCCTGGCGTCGACTCGTACAGCCCCCGTATTCACCACAGCTCCATGTACGCGATCGTTTATAGCTTGGAGAGGAACCGAATCTAAACATTTCTACAAGGGCTTGCTCGCTTACCCACAGCTATTGAGGGGGCCTATGTCATCCAACAAACCGGAGAGCCCAACACCCCATGAAAGACGTGGCAAACGGCGACGGATTTCGCGACGGATTTCAAAGGCTTTTGGGAAACAAATCTCACAGAAAGCCGTGGCTAAAGAGACGAACATGAACCATCCAACCCTCCCCCAAATTGTGCTCACGCCCATCGAACAAACTCTGCGACTGTGTCTACTTGATGCAGCCGAGTTCATCCAGCAACGTAATAAAAGAGAACCAGACACAACACCAACAGCTACAGAGCCCCTGGTTTTGCGATTCGCTGGAGGATGGGTGCGAGACAAGCTTCTCGGTGTTGAAAGCCACGACATCGACGTAGCGATAAACTCCATGACGGGGGAGAAATTTGGGGAGGGCCTCAAAGAATACCTCTCGATTCCTGGAAATCTCAGAAAATACAAGATATTTCACCCTTCCAACCCTTCTGTTGTTGATTTCATTAAGCTTCATAAAATCGAGAAGAATCCCGAAAGATCAAAACACCTTGAGACAGCCACGACGAGAATGTTCGGATTGGATATTGACTTTGTCAACCTGCGGAAGGAAACATATACAGACGAGAGTCGAAATCCCCAGGTCGAAGTTGGGACACCAGAAGAGGATTCACTTCGACGGGATGCTACAGTGAATGCTTTATTCTATAATATTCATACAGAGTTGATTGAAGACTTTACTGGACAGGGATTGCAAGACATGAAGAATAAAATCATACGCACACCAATGGAACCATTTCAGACTTTTAAAGACGATCCACTCCGAGTCCTGCGATTGATTCGATTTGCAAGCAGGCTGGGCTACACCATTGATTGTGACACGGAAGAAGCTATGAAAATAGATGCTATCAAATCAGCTCTAAAAGCCAAGATTAGTCAGGAAAGAATCGGTGTCGAGATTGAGAAAACCTTGCGAGGTATGCTGTCCTAGAAGCAGACCCCCATCTAAACCCCCTTTTTTAACGTCCAGCTGACTCTTTCTACCTTTAGGTCCTGACCCCTTGACAGCCTTGCAACGGATCAATCGATTAGGCTTGTATGATACTATACTTGCCAACCATCAGGATAACGTTGGGGTTGATACATCGTCCTGGGAACGGGGTTATGATGTGCTAAGCCTCCTATTGAGTAATTCCGCCGAAAATGGTACCGGATTTGAAAAGTCACGTCAATATGTCCGAGATATACTGATCCGTAATGAGAACGAGCGGTACTTTTCATGGCTTCTAGCTGCACTTGCGCCGTGGACCACAGTTCCAGACCCGATACCATCGAAGCCCACGGAGCCTATGCCCCGTGCAACAACTGTTGCTAAAGACAGTTTGCGCGCCGACAATAAGGCTGCCAATATCATTACCGCGGCATCCAAGTATCACAAGATGATATCTCATATGAAATCGTCCTTCCTCAAGGACGAAATAGCCGATACCCCCCCAGAGGTTCGTGCCAAAGTTGGACAATTTATTCGAACCATAGGCCGAGACTGGAGATTATGCTTTGTCCTTGCGATAGTCCGCGAAGCTATGCAGGGACAAGAACCGCACCAATGTAAGGAGATCACTGCACCATCATCATGCTAGTTACTGAAGTTAACATCCGTCGTTTTAAAACAGTATTTCAAAGTTACGAGAAATTTCTCCTGTACATTGAGAATGACAATCTTCTCGACGCATTCTCACTACGTCCACTTATCAACGGCCATGATATCGTCAGTGCACTGGGCGTGAAAACGGGGCCGTGGATGGGTACTGCTCTGGAGATGTTGATTGAATGGCAGCTCCGCAACCCAGAAGAAACAAGCAAGGAGGCCGCAATTAGTGAACTCCTTCGAAGGAAAGGGGAGTTGGAATTGAATAATATCAAACGCAACATATAGATTTGTGTGTAAGATAATTTCGGCACGGATTAATGAGTCTTCAGAGCCTAAAAGTGAATGACTTGTGTCTGTAGGTAGTAAGGTGTTTCTGGTGTAGTTAGTGTTGACATAATTTCTCTATGACTGCGGGAAATCAACATTGAATTTGCAGAAAAACTCCACCGTTGCATATTATGCATATCTATAACATTGAATAGCGGAACATGTTCCTGGTTGTAAACTTCAAAAGACCTAAGAACTAACTACCTTCGGCAGCGCTCCCTTGAAGGCAAACTTTCTTTCACCCCAATTTCAATCTAGACATGCATCAAAATAGGTGACAGGCTGACACAAACCCAGCCAACCTGACATACTATTGCCGGAGGAATCTCTATCCATATTCTACTCAAACTTAATCCGTATTCATGAACCAATATAGAGCTGCGGTGCGTGCAAGGTGGAAATCGGTCGATGACACCGTTGGCTATCATCTGAACCCGTCTGAAATACAACCAGATATAAGCCTTGGAGAATTATGGTCTGAAATAAGCGCAGACGAATCTTCTGCCTCCAATACAGATGAAAAGGTACGCCTGAACTTATTAAGGAGCATCGGTTATACATCCTAGATGACTTCGCTTGCTAATATCGTTCTGTTTAGAAATGCGAAGATTTACTTATTGTGGAGGCTGCTTTGAGAGCTATCATCGAGAGGCCCGGCCAGTTACAGAAGAAAGACCAAGAGGCGGCAAGATTCTTCATTTTCTGGGCTGCCAATGCTATTCTTCCAAATGAAGACTTCACCGGTGCATGGGAGGAGGCTCAGCTTTCAGACAGTGAGTAAATTGGTTTGCGAAACTCAAAAACCTGGCTTTTGCTGATGATGATCACCAACTGGTTGAAGCTGCAAAACTGCCAACGCTGGCAAGGTACAAGGTTGCTCGACTGAGGTCAACTGTTGGAGTCTCCGTTCTACAACTTCTCCATTCGATAAGTCCTATCAATGAACTTGAAATCGACGATTCAGTCGATGTTATCACGTCCTTGGCTGCCTTCACCTGCAGGAAGGATCCGTGGACAACAGAGACCGCATTTAACGTGGCCTCTGTTATCCTTGAAGGTTACGAGTCGCTTTTACGCTCACAGAACAGAGCAGAGCTGGCCGCTATCCTTGAAGAGGTGCTTAGAAAAAAAGTGAAGCCTCTATTTTCCAAAACAAAAACTCCTGCAGTTACAGCGGCCGGGAGGAAGAATGTGCATCCTATCCCCCAGCCGAGATTTGATCCAAGTATTTTCGATCCGAAGTCTAAGCCATGGAAGTTTAAGGACCTCTATGTTATCACGGTGCTCTCTTGGGTGATTGGGAGGTATTCGGTATGTTGGTATCCACGTTATTGACTGCAACGATCTTGTCGACGTGGAGAGGAGATATTTCAAGTCATCCCAATTCGAGTCTAGATGCAGCCGTGGAGGAGCAGGGGTTTACAAATGAGCTGCTAACAAAAAGGAATCAATTCAACAGCCCTCAGACAAGGCCACATTGGAATCCCAATTTCCTCTCCTCGTTCCCGCAATCCTCTCTCTAATAGACGACGAGACGCTCGCCTTCAAGGCAAAGGGCTCCGAGCTTCTCCTTAGATTTCTAGCTCCTCTTGAGGAATCGAAATCCGACTTACTCCGGCGCACGAACCTGGATTCAGTGTTTCAAGACGCTCTTACTCCCTGCCTTCTTTCCCTGCCCACTCTCACCCCCGAATCTGAATCCATCCACCTGCTCCAATATGCCTATCCAGCATGCCTTGAGGTAATTCGCACCCGATTTCCTTCATCCCAATCCCAATATTCATACCCTAAAACAACCCAGACCAGCCTCAAAGAAGACCCCGAATCCCAACAGCGTCTGGAATCCCTTACCCGCCTCCTCCGACAGAGTATCCTCCAATCTTACCACCACACTAGCAACCCCGCCCCCTTAGAAAATACATCAATATCATCATATCCACACCCACGCCTCTCCGCGCTGCTGCTTTCCCAGCTCTCGCTCGTCTCCTCAGAGCTAGGCATCCACACTACCAAGCATCTACAGGATCTCGTTCCCGTGCTCTCAGCTACCTTGTCAAATCCATTTGGTACGGCATACCCTCCTCTTCTTTTGGCAGCTACGGAAGCAACTAAAATGCTAGTGTTGAATGCTTGGCCAAGGATTTGGAGATGGAGAGCTGAACTGCTGGCCGGGCTGTGTGCGTGTTGGTTGCATGTGTGTGATGACTTGGCAGATATGGATATGGACGCTGGTGGTGCTGTTGCCAGCATTACACCCAGGAGAGGTAATGATGCTGGTGATGGACGGAGAGGGGATTTGATTGGGCTACAGGGTGCCCTTAAGGAGGTTGTTGGGGTTTTAAGGATCACGATTACAGAATGTGCAGACTTGGTTTTCGAGAAGGTAGCGGGAGATCATGAAGCAAGAGGAGCTGGAGACGAGGGTATGAATGGAGGAGCTATTGATGTTGACGGTGAGTTTAGGGAGTTGGTTGGAGGAGATGGGAAATTGCATGGATTATTGATTGGGAATGAGAATTTTGATTCCTAGTAAGGGGTTAGAGTATGGTAACGGATATGTGCAGTTCAGCGGCTTAGATCTATGGAACTCAACGGATGACTTCTGTCAATAGTATTCGCAACATTGCCACCCATGGATGAGATGGTATTGTCATGCTGAAATTTCAACATTTCCAGAACAGCACTTCAATGATACGTACCCCAAAGAGACGCGAAAAGTTTCATCATGCACAAAACTGAGGATTAAAAGAAGTATATATACGTAGCGTAAACACGAGCAATTTACGAAGAGAAACCAAAAAATGTCCAATGCCGGTGTTATCACGAACTCATCAAAGGGGTTATCATTTCAAAGCATGGATGAAAACAGCGGGAAATGCACCAAGAGATAGGAAACAATGAGCAAAAAACACAAGTAATATACACCACTACCCGAGAAAAGGAAGCTTAAATGCCATGAATTGAGAAACGGAGAAAGGGGCAATATTCATATATCAACCCGCTGTTTAAACAGACTCTTCCCCCTCAGCCACTGCCGATAACGCTTGTATCTTTTCTTATCATGATCTTCCCCAATGACCGTTAACCCTTCCTCCCCCACGTTCAGAAACTCAAGATAGTCTGGTAGATTATCCTCCGCTAGCAGGTCCAAGTTCGAATCGTCGAGGTTTAATTTATTCACGTACTCGAAGAGATCTAGATTTGATCCTCGCTCCGCCAGCGACGCGGCAGCCAGGGTGTCTTCGGACGTAACAACCAGAGGGACTTTGAGAGGGTGGTTGATGTAGCGTTCATATTCTTCTGCTTCAGCGCTGGAGACTGACGGATGGAGTGATTCGTAGACTAGATCGTCGAGACTCCATTGGGTGATTTGAGCTTTACTGGGAATACGTGCGTTGTTGGGAAAGAAGTCATCCAGGTGGTCAGAAAGTTCGAAGCGGGGGATCTTCATAATGCCGGTCTGCGGAGGCTGTTTCTCCGCTGATGGTGGCTGTTGGAGCCAATCCTGAAGGCATTTAGGTACCGTTGACGACTCTGCGCGGGAGCTGGTAGATCGTGCGTCTTCACTCAAGACCTCTAATAACGGTTCTTGGATGGTAACTTCTTTTCGTCGCGAGGTCTTCCTTTCGCGGCTGTCCGGTTCATTAATTAGACGTACTATAAATGGGCTGAAATCATATTGAACACCTTGGATTGATCGAAAGGGAAGATAGCGGATTGTAGATTTCATCTTGTTGGAAAAGATTTTGGAGAATGAGGAGAGGGCTAGCGGTCTGTAATATTCTAGCCAGTAGTCATCGAAGGTGTTGACTTGGAGTTTCTCTGGTCCTTGGAGAGCCACTGCGGCGGGCGGCTCCTGTGGTTTTAAATAATCTGGATTGAACCAGTGTATGTAATTATAGTTGTTTGATCGCGTTCGAGGATCTGAATGGTGAAGGTAATAGTCCGTGGCAAGATCCCACAGCATGGGCTGACCCTGTGAGAATATGTAGTTCCCTAGAAATAAGTTGTATGCTTCTTGTCGTTGCGCATCGAGAAAGGAATTGTTATAATAACGTTTAAAACTTTCAACCATGTCTCTGGAATGCCCTGTCCATTGGTTGATCTTCCTGTATGTTGCCATAGTATTTACGAGGTGAGACCCGCCATATTGAACGGCTATCGTATCTCCATGATGATGCCACATACTCGTGAATAGATTGACAGCATCAGTGTCGTATTCGATGGACGTTTCGTCGATAATTCCCAAGGCATGGAGTTGATATCCTAGTGCCCGCTTCCCAATAACGAACTGAGCGGCGTTTGTTCGATCAAGACAGTCGATGCAATTTGTTCGTGCGATGCCATTTTGTAATCGTAAGCCGGATTCCTCATTTTCACCGTTTCTAAAGAATCCGGTTCTCGGGATAATGTCCTCAGCGATATCTTCCAACGTGCCAATAACATCCTGATCAGGACTCTTTGATGCTCGACTCATATCCCATGCTTTATAAAGTAAGGTTTTATCCTCGGGGAGAAATTGATTCAAATAGGTAATGGCATTCGTGAACTCTTTTAGCAACTTGGATTCCCGTGGGATTCTCTCCCTCCCTTTGATAAGATTCAAGACGTACACCGGCGCACCGTATCTCTCAAAGAGATTGTTAAAATGAAGAGCGGCCGCTGAGTAGAACGGGTCAACAAGATTCAACTCAATGTCGGGCTTCGGGCTGACTCCAGTGCTATCTTGCGACCAATACAACGGAATGCTACCACGATGCTGTACGTAAGATGTATACTGAGGGCTTGCATAAGGCTTTGGACCAGGTGAGTGAAAGGAAGTGGTTTGCATTTCGGAGACAATCTGTTCGGTTTCGACATCGTTTGCAACGTAACCAAGATCGTTTGCACCGCGCTTTAGAAATCGAGCACCTGCAAAGTACCTTGACCGCCGTGCAATAATTGTGACATACACTGACCTTCCGTAGACCGATATAATTGACTGGTCAACGTATCCATGAATGGTAGGGAGGCACCAGTCATATGCATTTTTGAAAAGCGAGACCACGGGTTCCAAAAGGTAATGATTCCAAACGAACATTTGGTTATGGTCATCGTTCCGGCTGCTAGATCCTTCCTTTTGGAGCTTCTCTCGTACATAGGAAATATTTCGTTGAAGCGTTCGTGTGATGTTGTAAGAGTAACTGAAGTAAAAAGAGCGCGTTAAATCAATATTATTCATAATGGCTATAAATCTAGCCTCCTCTGGGTTCTTGTCTGCCTTTGCTCGGGCAAATGTCGAGGACGACAGTGGCACAAGTTCCGTCCCGTCAATCTGATAGATATAATGCCCACCCACCATTGCGACCTGACTTCTCTTGGTGACCAACAGCATGTAGTATGGGCCGGTGAATCTGATAAAGCCAAGCAAGCCCCAGGAGCTGCACCTTAGTTTCAACCCCCCAGAGCTCTTGTTGCCATCATCAACCGCATCGAGGAGCTGATTCATTTCACTTTTGGTGTAAACGGTATCGTCCTCTGAGATACTGAGATCGTCCAGCTCGGAAGTGCGCTCGATTTTAAGGATCCGGAATCGTTGCTCCAACAGATCCATGCCCACCATGTAATACCGCGTGGACGTTTCATATAGAGAGAACTTGTGCATTCTCGAGATCCAGTCATCACAAATTTTCCCGTCGAGAAAATGCCTGCTTCTCTGTGCCCCCGTGGATTGGGAACAAGTCCGCTCGAAAGATTTAGCCACATCTGGCTCCTCATCTCCTCCTTCTGTATCCACGTCAAATAGGGTTAATTCATTGGGAGGCTTGTGATTAACTAGTGGGTCTGGAAGAGGCGTACAGACACCACCATTCTGCCCTATGTCTTTGATCTTGATATCGGCCAGTGGTGGTTCAGGGAACAACCCGTCCGCCACACGGGGCTCTTCAGCGGCCCCTTTGAGAGGTCGAGCTACATCATCAAAGCTCTCCATTCGAAAGGGTACAGCATGTAGATGTAGAGAAAGAACACTAAATACCACAGCAAGTGCCCAAGGGGGCCCTCTGTGGAAATTTTGTCTCTCTGATGTTAAATTTCCACACAGTCTGGGCAAAACGCTGGGAAACGTCCAACTGCTGAGATTACGTCATCATGTATAATGGTCTCGGGGACCTGGATCACGTGGTAATTATGGAGAGCTAATCATTGTTCAAAGGATGAATCTTCGTCTCTTGCTGCATTTCTTCTCATCGGTTCTACAGATCTATTGTGTTGACGGTTGATCTAAGATGAGTTGGTTTCTGTCAAACGCTTCTGATATGTGCAAGAACATCATCGCTCTCATTCTATCTCATCTCGCAACATATTTTTGTTCTAGAATATTTTATTCAAGATTCTTTCCGGGCTAAGTATGTCAGAGGGTGTTGATTGATTGCGAGATAAGATTGCCAGGTCAAGTCAGATGTTTGCATTGAACATGATGAGAATGAACTGCCAACCTTGGAATCATTAAGCTTAATGCCTCTATCATTTCTTGCCCATTCACTATGAGCTGCCATTATGCTTAGTGCTATCAGCATTGACAAACAACACTCAAACAATTTTGGCCCGTGGGTTCTTTTTTCCCGCAAATTCAGCAACCATATGAACCGTACGGTGTTGAGTGCACACCGCGTCTCAGCTGTCACCATGTGATATTTGGATGATATCTCCTTCAGGCGGTATCATTTCTTCACAAAATGTCATATAGTATAATGGATGCAATAAAGACTAATTGCTCTCCCGTCGGTGGTCTAACATAGGCAGGTACCGACGGTCTTTCCGATGATTTGATCCTCGGATTAATAACAAGCTGGATAATCACGCCTCCTTTTCCATCCATGAGGACAACAACCCATCTACTTGCTAGTAGATAGAAAGGGCGAATAAAAGAAAGAAAGAAAGAAAGAAAGAAAGAAAGAAAGGAAAAGGCAAGAAAATAAAGTCAACTGCGATGGTAAGTCACCCCTGAAAATCAAAAATAACCAAAACTCCTTAATGCGGTAAAATTACAAAACCAGGAAAATGAAAAGAAAGAATAAACGGGAAGAAAAAACATTACCAATCGTCCCTCGACCATCTATTAACGACCCTTTTATAGAAAATGCTGCATGATATGATCCTATAGCCTCACTCCCTCAGCAACGGATGCGCCTCCGTATTAAAAACATAGCGATCCAAACTCGCGAGATCCGGCTCGCTAAATAGAAGATAGAAGTACTTCAGCGTCTCCCCTGTCCAATAGGACTCCATTTCATTCAGAACAATCGGTTTCTGCGACGTCACGTCATCTATACCTCCGTAGGCAAAGTCCGTCCTGGCATGCTTCTCGATGGCGGAAAACATGTTCCAGCCTTTATCTTGGAGACTCTCATCACCGGTGATGCGGTAAAGGATGAAGACGGATTCGATGGCTTCGGGTCTGTTTTTGGATCTTTGTTTGAGTAATTGTGTTGATAAAGGTGATGGAATTGTGGAAGCGGGGGGAAGTCGATAAAATACATACCTCAACGTATATCTCCTGTCATTGATTGCGGCAAAGCCAGCAATCTTACCTTGTTCCTGACCCATGCGCGCAAAGTCGCTACGCGAGGCGCCGGAATGGACTTCATTTACAAACCACGATCCCGGCTGCCATTTGCAATCTGTTGAGTCCTCGCAAGGGACCACCTCAAATGCCTCGGGCATTATCCCGCTGGGCATGGTTCTGTACGCCCAGATACAACCCTCAGTGAGCTTCCTGCCGACGTCAATTTCCTCAGGGCGGTTAAAGACCTTGGCACCAAGGGCAACCATGCCACCTGCAAAGCAAGTGAGGTGCTGACTCTCAGGTTTGAGGGTGACCCTTGTTTTCCCTCCAACATAACCACCTCCTGATATTAGGATGTCGTCACTGTTGTTGGTCATTGGACGGAAAAAAATGTGTTTCTTGGCCACATCAATAGCTTTTTCGTACATATCCTTGTACTGCTGGTTCCGGCCACGAAGTAAGAGGTATTCCTATTACACGCATGATAAGCTAGAGATTTTGGGACAGGAACATTGGGTTCGGGCTCTGTACTTTCGGTAGATACTCATACAACGAGTCTGCCATACCGCCAAGGGTGAATTGGCGATCCCTGTCAAAAGAAAGAGTTTGCGTGTCGACTGACAACGGCCACATTCCAGGGATCTTTGTGCTAAGTTGGTGTTCCTGAAGTATATTTGTGATGCGCCGGATGGCATCGTAGTACTTGGGGTCTCCAGTAATTTGTGAAAGCCGGGTAAACTCCACGGACATGGAACCCAGTTCAGCAAGGATGCTTCGGCTGCTTGATTCCTGGGGGTCGCCATCTCTTGCCCCTGACCAATACCAACGGAGTACTGGCATTCTGTTTGGAGTGTCAAATGCAACATACAGAAGATCTCCGACTTCTATGGCTTTTTGCAAGAGAATCGGATAGGCACCCCTGGTGAGATCGTAGGCTGCTAAGAATCCTCCCAGATAGCGAATGTTGGTCTCGAAAACGTTCAACATCATCATTTCAGAGGATGAAAAGTCAATGTGCTTGACCGCCGCAACAGCCTCCTTGAATTCAACCTTCAAATCCATGAGCCACAGGGTATCCAGTGAATCAACCAGGGTTGCACCCCATCCACCAAATGTAGTTTTCGCGCCGCCATTTACAGGCGCAAGCTCATCCTTCAACCACGCATGATTTCTATACCCTTTCCACGTATGCAGAAAGGCTTTTTTGACTGCCTCCCTGCGATGTTCTCTGATATTTCTTGAATGGATGTCTTCGACACCAAAGTCAAATTGGATCTTGGGAATCGACACAGGATTGGTTGTCGGAATGGGAACCATTGACGACACAGGGTGCTGAATGACATGTCGCTTGAACCAATGATGGACAACCGGCTCTTTTCGAGACGACGAAATCGAAACTCTATTGAGATGAAGAAAAGTAAATAAGAAAACAAGAGCAAAAAATAGGGTGATGACCCATCTTCGAATGCATGCCATGCTGAAACTTGAAAAGGAGTGTAATAAACAAAACGAAAATGACGAAGTCGACTACAAGCAAAGCAATAATGAGAGCGGGGAGAACAATGAAACCGCTGCCCTGGCTTTCATCACATAGACAGAAGCTCGAACCAGGGAGACAGACCGGAGTGTGAAATAAAAGAGAAAATACTTCTGTCAAACCCTGGCGGTTCTTCGACATGGGATTTAGGCCCAGCACCGTACCAACTTGCAGATCAGGAGCTCCAGGCCTAGAACTTCCATATACAATTATTGCTGGGGGGAGGGGGGAAGTCAGGCCAATTTCGTGCCCTTCTTTCTCTGTTAGCTTTCTTCCTAGTTCCACGACGGCGTTCCGTTTGACCCTTTTCAAAAGCCACAGGAAGAGGAAGAAAACCCATTCATTGCTCAGGTATCAAAATAAAATCCCTGTCCCTGCGGTGCTAATGACGTAAGCCGAGCTCAGGCTGAGCTTGCTGTTTCATGCCCAGAGAAATAGCATCCGTCGCCTGGCTTGGAACCCGCTGCTTGGGCCGGCCTCCCTGTCTGTCTACAGAACTTTCACGTATATACGCAGTCTCATGTGTTGTCCATGCATGCTCGCCCGAGGAATCAGGAATGATGACACTGACAATCGCTCCAAGCGAGCGCCCTATTCAATGGATTCCCAACTCACCCGCCAATATTCCAATTGCGTGCGTAGGTGGCGTACTGGGAGTAAACTATTCACTTCCACCAGCGGCCTCCAACATCCCCTGGTATTGTTGCTGATGTTGCGAGGAAGAAGAATATGTATCACAGAGGTGGAAAAAGGGGCAGTACAACAAAGGTAAACTATATCCAATCTCATCTCCCTCTCTCGAAACATATACACACTTCTTCGCCATGACTTCTTCGCATGGGTACCGTGCAGATTATAATAAGCGGAGTCTATCGAAGCATTCAGATAGGATGTTTTTTATTAGTGATGCTTCCACGTATACCTAGGCACGGAGTAGATAGGGTTGACGATAACCCAGTCCGCTCCTAGTTTCTTGAAGACTTGATTTAAAAATTGGACATTCGATCTAGGAAGTCGGTAATAAACCTAAGAATAACATTCTTGCTCAATATATATATATATAAATCCACAGAGTCTGAGAATGATCAGTCTTCAACTCGGATCGAACCTGGAATTAAACAAATGGGAAGAGTTTCCATGCAGAGTGGTTTGGTTTGAGCCAAATGGCTGGATGGCACGTGATTGCTGCCTGGAATCTAATTCGGATCGTTAAACTTGGCGATTCTTAAGAAAGCAAGATTATTTGAGCTATGCCCTTCGATACGGGGCCTTTTTGTCTGCTTGTCGGATGAGAAATGACTCACAGTTACAGTCCATTGCAGCCGCAATTACCAATGGTGAAGCGAGAAGCTCATGCTATGCCTAACATAAAAGGCACTTCCTGACGCCATCTTTTCAGCAGGAAAATGGCGACTGCTGACCTCAACGAAGCTCCACTTACCACCAGGTAGAACCCCCTCGATAAAACGATTACTTTATCTCACTCAACTCAAGACCAAGCAAAAGCAATCCACCACTGCCATGTCTACTACAAAATTCGAGACTCCCTCACACAAAATCCACATTTGTCTTTGGTTCGAGAAGGACGGCATCAAGGCCGCCGAGCACTACATTTCCCTATTCAACAACTCCCGCATAATTTTCAGCGACGATACGCTGGTCTCATTCATTATCGACGGACAGCAGATAACAATTCTGAACGGTGGTCCCCACTACAAGCTCTCACCTGCCGCGTCCCTATTCATAGTTTGTGATGGCCAGGAGGAGATCGATCGTCTGTGGACGGCATTGACGGCAGATGGTGGCAAGGAGCTCCAGTGTGGTTGGCTCACCGACAAATTCGGCGTCTCATGGCAGGTTGTACCCGGCTCTCTGTTGGAAATGATTAACGACCCCGACGAGGAGAAGGCAAAGAGGACGCGTGAGGCGATGCTGAAAAGCGTCAAGTTTGATATCCAGACCTTGAAGAACGCCTATAACGGGAGCGATTAAGTGGTCCGGGATCCATTGCTCAATGGGGAATACGTCAAACCATGTTAAAGTGGGAATGCTGATTCCTCGAGTGATATATTTTTGCCATCTGTTGTTTTCGTATCGATTTTTGACTTTTTGTGGGAAGTAGCTCCTAAATGAGGGGTTGACCTGCTATGTAACGCCGTTTATTTTATTTCACTTCCCTTGGCCCTGTTGCTTGAATTGTTGGATGATGAGCAATCGTCGGGAGGGTGGAAGCTCAATCCCAAAAGCCGGGAAATCTAGTTGCTCAAAGTTCAACAATGCTCGGGATAAATTAAACTTCCCCGCAAAATTCGGCCCGTTCGGTAAACTTTCTCCAGCTTCAGTCTGAACCGAATCCTGCAAACAACAGCGGCGACAAATAAAGACCCACAACATGAAGAGAAGCTCTATGCTTCCAGTTTGAATTGCATGCTGAATAAACCGTTCCAATTGATTATCCAATTTGACGCAGACATATCTGGTCTCCATAACCACATCACTCGAATCACGTCCCTTCGTCATGAGCTAATCCTCCGCCAGCTGTTTATCACATTAAACAACCCGCCATTTATCCACGCAGTCGTAGCATTAGTTGTAACTTTAAAAAAAAAATGCAAGCAATCAAAATAACCTCATTTTCTGCAAGCCTCTCAAACCTCCATTCACAAACAATCCCCGATCCACTACCCCCAGGCCCCAACGAAGCGCTGGTAAAAATCCACTGCGCAGCCCTAAACCACGTCGACCTGCTCTACGCCCAGGGCAAGCACCAAAATAATACATCCCTAATCCGTCCCCCGTTTACTCTTGGCCTCGAATTTTCCGGCACAATAATCGCCATTGGCGATTCCATATCTTCGTCTAGTAATCCACTGTCTGTTGGCGACAGAGTTTTCGGCGCCAGCCTAGGTGCTTTTGCAGAACGCATCGTCGTCACCACCCACTCCATCCACCGCATCCCATCTGCATGGACATTTGAGGATGCCGCGGGTCTTGCCGCTACCGCGACGGTGGCGTATGGGGCCGTAATGGTACGTGGAGGTGCGAAGGAGGGTCAGTGGGTGTTGGTTCATGGGGCTGCAGGAGGAATTGGAGTTAATGCGTGCCAGATCGCGAAGGCGTGTGGGGCGCGGGTTGTTGCTGGGGTGAGGAGTTTGGAGGATTGGGAGAAGGTGGAGATGCTGAGGGGTCTCGGTTGTGTGGATGGAATTGTAGAGACAGGTGGGAATGTTGCCGATGTTGGTGCTGGCAATGACAGCACGGGTCAGAAGGGTGGAGAGAGTTGGACGGGTGAAGTGATGAAGATTACAAAAGGCAGAGGGGTGGACCTTGTGATTGATAATGTTGGGCTCGTCAAGGAGAGTCTGAGGTGTTTGAGACCCATTGCGGGGAAAATTGTGCTTGTAGGGTTTGCCGGGAGGGAGGGCGTTATGGAGCAAGTGTCTGTTAATAGGATTTTATTGCGGCAGGCCGTTGTCATTGGATACGTGAGTTGACCTTCTCCACTGGGTTTTTGTTATCCAGGTATATGATATATCGAAAGTTTCCCGGATGGCTGACTCGCATATCATCCCAGCGATACGGAGACACGAATCGCAAAGACCCGAGTGAGACGAAACGGATTTGGAATGGGCTGGCAGCTCTCATCGAGTCTGGGGCTATCAAGCCCGTTACGTATGAGAAGAGGTATCGCGGTCTGAAAGAGGTGCGAAATGCCATGGCAGACTTGAAGGCACGGAAGATATACGGGAAGGCGGTGATCTATATTAATGAAAATGAAACTGAGAGAGCTGCACTGTGAGGTTTTATTCATATTCCACTGCAACTGCAATTTTTTTTTTACTATTTACCAAATTGCTCTTCAAGGTGGAATATATCTCTGTAGTTATGTGAAAATGATTTCCTAGAATTCTCAGTTTTACAGTTTTCGATGCAGTGTATGGTAACTACATTCTGGGGAAAAGGTGTCATTAAGTCTACAAGTCTAACTTTCGTTAACTATCAGAAACAAAGAAACAAACATAGCTAGTCGAAGATGGAGTCGAGTTTATTTCGCCCACAACCATGGCGTTACATACTCAAAATCAAAGTCGATGATGCTTGATTGGAGATTTGGCCTCTAATATCATGTGCCCTACAGGAACATATGGAAGGTTGAAAAAAAAAAAAAAAAAAAAAAAAAAAAAGGGGGAATTGTAATTCGCTCAAGTATAACGCCAGAAGACCATTCCCAGGATAAACGGGTACGACCTCGGGATTGATAAATGAAAAGATCCTACAATAGAAATCCAGACTCGGGTGACACACCATCTCTTTCTATCTGACTGTCTTCAGCTCGTTATTTCAACTCAAATTTCCACACATCGAAAGAATCTCATTCAAACAGCGCTGCACATCCTTGCACGTCCACCTGCACCGAGAATCTGGGTCCAGCATCCCCTTTATACACGCAGTAAGTTTATTGAGTATATACATACCGTCGTTTTCGCTCCCATTCCTGGTAGCTTCTGAACAATTAATCTTGCTGGCGAAGTCACCGGGAAGAATTGGAGTGAGGTCAGAAAGGTTGCGCTTGTGGTAAGATTTTACCATTCGGTTTGGTGAACAGGTCAAATAACAGAGTGTCATTTGACGCTCCATCCTAGTTTCGAACTTATACAGCAGTTCGAAAAGAATGACGCCAAGAGCAAACATGTCCAGACTTTCATCGATGTCATAGAGGTTTTCCATCTCAGCATGTTCGTGGTTGCCTTCATTTCCTTTTTCGTAGGTATTGTTGGTGCGCGAAAGGGGATGGATTTGTTTCGAGTTTACGATGGGAGGTCTATAGAACTCTGTTCCAACAGGGCGAGTTTGAGCCCCCGTGGAGTTACAACCCGATTCGTATTGCCCCCTGCTTTCTCCATACTGGGAAATTTCTGCGACCAGGCCAAAATCACCAATACGAGGGTTGGTGTACCATGGTCGTTTTATCTCCTCTTTATCGCACGGTGGACAAATCATTTTGTCCTGTGGGTTGGCGAGTGATAGGAATATATTGGCTGGTTTAAGATCTCGATGGACTATTCCCATGGAATGAAGATACTCAACACCGGCCAAAACTCCCAGAATAATCTTGAGAGAAGGGATAAGATGGTAGCAATGTCGGGGGCTGCTGGTGTCTGATGTTGCGGGCCTCGGGACCAAGTATGTAGCTAAGCTCAGCGGATGGAGCGACATTTGAATGTGCAATGTTAAGACAGGCCCAGGTTTAACATGTTTAACTTTTCGGCTGAGGCTTCTTAAGCTGGCATTTCCCATTCCATCTGAAAATATGTCATCGTTGGTTTCGCTTTCTGATGTTGTCTGCCCGTGGTTCGGGAAGCTAAAAGGCCTCGGAAGAGATTCCACTTCTTCAACATCTCCAGTGTCACTCTTACCACTTGTACCCTGAAAGGAAAGGCGTTTACTGTGTCGTGTGTTACACGAGTCAGAATGACCTTCCTCTCTATCTTCTGCATTTTCGCTATCTTTTAAAGAATTTTCGAATACGATTCCATGGCCCGACTCTTCGAAAACGATACTAAAGCTTAGATCCTCGTGGTGCGATCCTGATGATTCGAGTTTGGGGGAGGAGACCTGTTCGCTATCATCCATCCCATCAGCACTAACCGGAATGGTAGAAGAGGCACTCTCAACAATTGAACCAGTTGACAATTCGGCCCATGCGCTAAAGTAACGGACAACATTGGGGTGCTCCAACCGAGCAAGGGTTCTAATCTCCTTTAGGATACTCTCCACAGCTCTCAAACCATCCTTTTGAAGTTGACGCAACCGTTTCTCACGCAATGGGATTTTTTTCACCGCATAAACCTGGCTGTCAACATGATGTCTCGCACGGTACACAGCACCGTATGAGCCTTTGCCAATAAATGCTTCCTCTTCAAATTCAGCGGCATACCGGGAGGTTGGGATGTTAATGGTCTGTGGAGATAGCAGGGGAAAATCCATGGGTATCTGGGAGAATGCAGTGAGTGAATGCCTCACAAGATCGGCGATGTTCGGGGGCAATGGTTGGGTAGAGGAATCAGAATACGCCTTCTCGGTAATACGTCTTTGAAGATTAGGACGAGAGGGCTGTTGAGGAGTGAAGTTCTTTATCTTATCAAGATCAAGCCCTTCCAGAAGCTTTTGTAGTTGCCCAAAGTTCATTGTTGTCGAACCCTGACCGCTGGCTCCTTTGAATGGTGGAAGCGAATATCTGCCGTTCGGATCTGTTTCTCCTAAGGCTGCCACACTCAGGACATCCAGGTTGTTTCTGTAATGCTTTCTCACTGACTCCCAGTCATTTCCATCTAATCCTCCTGCAATGACCCCGTGTCCGGAGAGGAACTGGGACTTATACATGTAGAGGTGACGTCCGAGATATTTGGCTTCTGGAGAATCTCGAGAATATCCGCCGTGAGATCCTGGTTGCCCATTAAGTATGTCGGCTGCGCGACTCTCACAATAAAACTCTAGGAGGGCCGCAGTCATCATGGCAGCCTGCCCTTCGGGACTAAGCTCCGGCATCTCTCCTTGGTCAACACGAGCACTCCTTTCAATTTCGTGCGGAGGAGAGGTACCATATTCGTGGGAGAGGGGTGAATTTCCCAAGCTGTTGGTACCTTTGTCCGCGGGTGCATCTTTAGGCTCTGATGGCGCCAAACAGGCAACATCATTTGCATGAATTTGTTCACTTTGGGATTCGGAATCTGAAGACATATCTACCGGAGAACAAAGCATGGACGACGTCGTAAATTCGGGTTTTCTGTGTTCCTGGGACTTGGGACTTGTTTTTGCCAAGGCAAGGAAGGCCCATATATCTGGACACGGGGTTGGTAAAGGACAGAAGACAGAAACGATATTCACTAGGAGGAGATGAATGAAATCAGAGCAAACGCAGGCAGAACCATTTCGGAAAGAAGGATATATAATGGACAGTCCCGATGAATTACTGTACCAAGTATCGTAAAAAGACAGGAACCTTCCCCAGAAAATGCTGGCTTTACACCAGTCAGAATGGAGAGATGGCGTTGAGAGGCATTCTCCTGCTTCTCTTGACATAAGATAATGCCAGTGGAAGGTTTGAAGTAAAGAAGCAACCAGTGAACCTCAAAAAATTTTAAGACTTCCCGGTAAAATCTTATTATATCTTTGAGAGGGATGCCTGGGGAACTTTCAAAAAAGAGTGAGTATAAGAATGAATCAAACACAGGAACACACAAATGAACCCTTCAGCTTCGATGGGATTCCATACATTGTATGTAGTTGACAGGGCGTTTCCTTGTTACTTATGACTGGAACAAGTAACATACAGAGCAGTTGAGTGAGATCCAGTTATAATGAGATGAAAGTCATTTCAACAATCAACCAGTTGAAATCATGCCATAGTCCTTTGTTTTGGCCGGGATAACGTGAGAGATGTAGAAGAGCAACTCATCCAGTGTGTTGTTGTTGATGATGTTGATTTATGGGAGCCTAAGGGCGGAACGGCTTGTATGAACGAACAACGTCCAAGGAACATGCTGACCTAAGCTTAAGAAAAAAATAGATTGGATGTTTACCATATTAGTTAGTTGCTACACCGTATCGTCCAACCGCGTTGAGTAAGTTGAAGTATCTAACTACAGCACAACGTAACCCCAGGCATAGCTGCCGTTAACTAAGAATACCTATGAATATTGGTAAATGTTGCAACATAAGATATATGTCTATCGGGCTGTAACTTCTTAACTATACACTGTACTATAACTATATGTACTCCAACAACGCCATCCAGGCTTGCGTCATACTCCGTTTACACTATACAAATGGACTGCAGGCACGGACTATAATTACGGCATAGTAGTAATTTTGCAGCTCAGTCATTATTTGACAGTCTATGGGTTAATCTAATCATTTGCATTGGCCATCGTAATAAAGTCCGCCTCGTCACATCCAACGAACGATAAATTGATTCGAACAAATGGCCCGCCCAACCTTGTGACCAGCAGCAAGAATCCAGTCTGCCAAGGATCACACAGTAGTGTGCAAGAAACACCAACGCCATGGGTTTGGGCATCTTTAGATGAGCCGAGATATGCTTCTGGGAGAAGAATCGGCCAGCCGGAAAACGGTCTCCCAGCTCGAAACACGCCTTTCAAAAGTGATGCGAAGTTCCCGAATTGCACGGTTATTTTCATCCTTCTCATCGGTGCTAAGTTGGGTTACGTGTTCGCCATTGCAATCACGCGAATAACCAAGGGCATTTATCACGTCCTCGGAAACTGGCTGTTGTCATGCCATCTGCGGGACGACGGATGTGGGGCTTCAGCTTTCCTTTCTCGATGAGCTTCCATGACTTAATCAGGACACCCTCCACGCTGCGAAAGAGGAGAAAATCCTGCAGCAGGTCAGCAACGGGTTCTCACCCGCCTGGCCTGCCGATAAATCGAGAAAATGCAAATGCCAGCACCGCAATGAAACTAGAAAACGCGAATACAGCGTTGCAGCTGGAGGGGGTGATGTTGTTTCAACATTGGCCGGAACGCTGAAGTGTGAGGTGTTGATGCTTGGTGGTCAATTCCACATATTTCCTGCGGGATGGATTGTTCTTGTTGTTGCTGCAGCATTTGATAAGATGGAGTGCAGACAGAGCTAAGAGTTCATGCATTAGGTAACAGGTGAGCGAGAGATTCCTTGGGAATAACAGTCTTCCATATTTCTATATGTTCGGCATTGTTTGACAGCGTTAAATAGGTGTTCGTCATGTAATTGTGCAAGAAGTTTAAATCATCAAGATGCAAATTAGACGTGAAGCGGGAGCTTCTGTTCTCAAAGGCGGTAAAGATATCAAGCTGATCAACAGTGGAAGAGGAAATTGGAGATGAAGTTGTAGATAAAGAAATGGGAGGTAGCTTTGGGGTGTCATTGAGGATATCCGGCCGACTCGCTCCGACCCTGCCACCTTGTAGCTGCAGGGCCGGGAGGAACAGCAAACTTGCACTCAATATTGTGCTTTTTGCAGTTGTCGCACGACGGGGGCGTTTCATCACACTGTTAACAGTAGTTGAACGCTATTGCTATAGGGGGATGACCGCAGTGAGCAGAGCACGATTCAGGTGCCAAATCTGGTCAATATTTACTTTTTCTCCTTTTGAAACGAAACTCCATAAGTGGGATCATTTGAGGGAGGAAGGTTCGTAATATTGGCACTTCATCCACACCTTTATCTTTCTTCTCTTGCATTGGAGGCATCCTAGCCGGGACTTGCGATGGCTTCTTCGAGGAGGCATTACGAATAGAACCACCAGGCTATCTTTTTCTCACTTGCACGCTGCTTGGTCATACATAGAGAGTTTTGCCCTTAAACCACAATGAAACCGGGCAAAAACCACGAGAGACTTCCCACGCATTAACTATACGACCCAATACCGTTTCAGCCCAAGAGGTCAGATAAGAAGCACTTGGCTGAAGTCCGGAAGCACATGTTCCAGTAATCCAAGGGGAATAAAAATGCTCTTGGACCGTCCTAAGATGACGCACAAAGAGAATCTTATACGGGAACTGGCAGTCTGACTGAGCCCTGAATAAAATCATAATCTCAATGGGCCTAGAGTTTTGGGGCCTGGAAATTAAATATTTTGCAGAGCGGCAGTCAACTTAGTTACTGGCTAGAAAGTATCCTCTGGTACTCCCATGTATTCACGTTGCTGGTCTGGTACCTTAAAATACATACTAAAATGGTCCGCCGCCAGCTTCTGATTGGCTCACAGAATTGCCTCCCTTGTTGTTTCCATCAATCAATCAACATGTCAATATCAAAATAATTTTCTGTTCAAACTTCTTTAGCCGTACATCAGATTATGAAAGAGCTGTTATAAGAACCAAAAGGGAGAGATGTGAACAACGGTTTGAATGATCGCAGGTGGTTTTCTGTGAGAACGAGAATGAGCACCTTTGTATGTTACCGGGATTTATTTATTCTGGGCTTGAACGGCAACCTCCTTTTGTTGGAGGCTGCCCTCTATTGTCAACCTTATGAAGCTCACGAGAAGTAGTGAGTAACAAATTTCCGTGTTCTTGCGTTTATGGATCTGATACTTACATGTTATTACTACCATCGTCCGGCTGCCCTCTTCTCGGGTTCGTCAGCTTGTCTGAGTTCTGCGATCGATGGATCCATGGATCTCCACAACAGCCCATAACTATGGCAGCTTGATAGATCCGAAGACGAAGCAGGAGCCAAAAGTGGACTCGCCTTTGTTCAATGGGAATTCTCGTATGGCATCATCTTAATGCAGCTACTTTACTGGGTAGTCCCTGCGGGATCGTTGATTTACAAGCACTACATGCTTTCACGCTCTTTGAATAATCGCGGCGCTGAAGATGTCTAATGGCCAACATTGGACTATTCGGATGTTCGGATGTTCACAGCATGTGAAATACATGAAACAGCGAATGGCTCTATGATACGGAGATATGGCTTTTTAAAAGCAAGAGGGAGTGGATTGCTGACAATAAGTGAATGGGCCAGACTCTAGTCTCTTGGTAAAGATTGAATGAGGTGGTTTGAAGCAAAGCAAAGTCTCAACGGCTCGGATACACCCATCATACCTGCGTTGTGTAGAATATCGAGTGACGTGGTGGCCGTGGTCCAGAGACACTTACACCATTGATGCTTGTTTGATGACATGTAAAGTCCTTCTGCATCATGGGGGGATGGCATTTTTTATCATCTAACTTCCCTTCTTGAAGACTTGATCAAGACATAAATATACAAAGTTTTACACATGTTCGATTTCCCACGGTTTTCCGAATCTCAGACACGGAAAGGAGTCAAAGGGTTTTCTGAGAAAGGGACCATTCAACCAAATTAACCCATGTGAAAAATCAACGCACAGCGGAATCGAACAATAAGAATTTTTTATTACCCAATGACTTGTGCTTTGTCAGGATAAACATACTGCCAACCTTCATGAATGGGAAACAATAATGTCTTTCATCAGGTTGACTTGAAAGCAAAAGTGTTTCTGATGCCGCTCGTCATGGATATAAGGTGTGGCATACCTCTGTTTCGAATCGGACCGCTGCGTTCGCCGTGATGAGAAGTACCTCTAGGCAATTTATATTATTCGAAGGAATGTTATCTCGAAGGAAAATTGGTCCTGGAAATCCGGGTGAGACTTTTAAAGGTGCCGCAATTGATCGAGATTTCAGGGGCGCAGATCAAAGAGCGCCAGACCTTGCTTGCTATTTGGATCTCAGTAGCGATCCCCGTTCGCTGTTACTTGGTGTCTCACCCAATCTGTCGTGACACTAGCAAACCAGACATCGGGTCGCTCATCTCACATCTTCTCAGATCGATTTTAGCGACTAACTACCTAATAAGGTAGACTGGAGGTATAAATTTGGATTCGGAGACGAGTCGCGGGCGCTGTTGAGTTGGTGATAGTACAACTGACGTTCAAACTTCTACCCTGCAATTGGATGACAGACCTCCCTGAAGTTGACAGCCCGAGTTGTTTCAGCTTTGGCTCCGCCTTTTAGCTAGCGGAGCTTAAGTTATGGCTCAATTCTGAATCATATGAAGTGCGCAAAATATGGGGTATCATTGGTGATTTTCTCATCAGCCGTACATTGGGCTCAGTTGCCATTCCCGGTGTTTGGTCCACTTTGTTAAGAATGCAGAATTTCTGTTTCACCGGCTTTTTATTTTGGAGTTTTATGTTTATTACGCCTCTGTCAAGGTGAATACATGTTTACCTTGAGGTAAAACACCACATCGTGGTTTTGATCTCCTGGCAATTTATGACCTCACCCCTCGAGTATGAATGGGAGCCCACCAGATCCAGTTCTTCTCACTTCGTTGCTTGTGCAGCATACAGTGTGAATCACTTTCAATTCCCAGCTGTGACTTTCTTCTGTTAAGACCTTTCAGTGTTTTAATTTCCCCTCCTTCAGGTCGGTGTCCGCTCCCTGTACACCGCAACCTTGGAAGTTCGCATAGGATCACGTGAGGTCTACTATCACCCGCCGAAGTGTAACATTCATTTCCAAGGTTTCTCTCTCTCCAGTCAAGCATTTTTCTTCCTTTCTCGAGTTCCGTCTGTTCCTAATCTCCGATCATCTCAGAATTTTGGTGTTCCCTCATGCGAAAGAATGGTGTTAAAAGTTCATTTCTTTGCAGTTTCACGGCGATTTCGTGAGTGAACTCTGTGTTTTGATCTCAATCCAAAATCGAAGCATCTATGCCCCTATGTTATGCGATTGAAGCCTAGTTAATTGGACTAGAGTTTCCCGTGTATGTCAGACATTGAAGGAGTCCACAGTCACAATCGGTGACATCTCCTTATGCATTGAGTTGGTATCGTGTCCAATTTATCTCCTGAAGCCCGATTCAACAGTCAATAGATACCCCTTCCAGTCAATAGCCACAGTCTCGTCAGACGTTGTCTGACTACATCGCCCATCCATGTCTGTCATCACCGAGTCCGATCGGCGCTCTGTGTTCCATTGGCAGCACCGCATCGTCCAAAGAAGGTACAGACAGATCCAGATTCGGGGAGGTTCTGTGTCAACACACTTTTTCTCTCATGAAAACCTGCTCCAAGTATTTCACAATCGATATGGGCCAATTGTTTTGAAACATTCCTGCATTATATTCTCTCCTTAAATCGTTGATTGGTATCTGCTTTAAGCTGACAGACGTACCCCTTTTCCTGTGTATAGGCCAAGAGGCTCGTCCAACGCTGTTGATATTTATATTTATATTTATATATCCATATCTGTCTCTGTTTGTTTTCTTTTTAGTTTTGTATTTCCCATCACACACTGTCGTTATCTATTTTCACAGTATGTCTCTTTCTATTTATCGATGCCCACGCCCAAACAGTTGTTATTAGATTTAAGCTAAACCTCTAGCACCTATTTTCCTGGATAGTTTCATTTTTGATTGCCTCATCAAGATGAAATACCTTCTGGTGGCTTTCATCGCCGTCTGCAAGTTTTCGATAGTTGGGGCATTAGGAGGCCCTAAAACACATGACAGAAACAACCAAGATTTCATTGATAAAGGACTACGTCTGCTACAGTTACAAGATGAGGCAGGATACAATCTCAAGGAGGCACTTGACCAGCGTCTAAAGCCTCGACAGGAGGATAATGCGGTTACCTGTAAGAATGGTGGTGGCGATGATGGTTGTGTTAAGGGCGATGATATTGAGGGTAAATGGCAACCCGCATGCACGACGAAAAATTTAACCATTCGAAAAGAGTGGTGAGTTGACCCAATACCTTTATGACATATCCGCATCACATTAACTGTCCGTCCTAATTTTCTTCCACAGGCGGTTTTTGTCGAAGGCAGAAAGACGGAATTATATCGACGCCGTGTACTGCCTTCAGTCCAAACCGTCGCTATTTACCGAGAAAGAAGCTCCAGGTTCCAAAAACCTTTTCGACTCCTTTGCTGCTGTGCACATTAATAAAACGCAAAACATTCATGGCAATGCATGTTCTTCGGATCTACCCATGTCCCCCGCACGTGGCTTCAACAGCTAATAATTTCTAGTTCAACTTCCTCGCCTGGCACCGGTACTTCGTCCATGCATACGAGAAGGCACTCAAAGATCAATGTGGATATCGGGGGGTTAGCCCGTATGGTCTGCCCAATTTAGTTTAGCCTGCAGCTTGTCAGAGACATATACTGACGTTTTAACCCTCAAAAAGCTATTGGGAATGGGGATACGATGTCCTTGATCCACATAAATCTCCCGTCTTTGACGGTTCGCCTTATAGTATGGGAAGCGATGGTGCTCCTTTGGAAAACAGGGCGCCAACTTTCAAACTCCCTCCTCCCCCGCCACTGCCACCAGCAAACGGCCGCGAGTTCCCTGCCGGACTTGGAGGAGGGTGTGTAAAGTCTGGTCCCTTTTCAGACTTGACCACTAATCTAGGTCCAGTCGCTATGGCTGGGGGCCGATTAGATGATCCATTGAGACACAATCCCAGATGTCTGCAACGTGACATGAACTCTTACATAGGCCAGCAGTTCACCGCTTTCAATTGGTCGACGTGGACCGTCGAAGCGAGCAGAGACATTATCGGATTCCAATCGCGACTCGCCGGGACACCAGAGAACGAGAGCCCTAACGGTGAGCCACTGAATTACTTTGGGGTACATGGGGGCGGTCATACTTTCCTGGGTGGGATGACTGGACAGCGTATGTATTGCCAGCCAAACTTCAATACCACTTCCGATCCCCGTCTCTTTCGTTGAAGTTATTTACCAAGCTATTACAATGTCTTAACTAACTTTTGTGCCTCCTTTCTAGATACCGACTTTTATTCTAGCCCTCAAGAGCCAGCATTCTTCCTTCACCATGGCCAAATTGACCGCCTCTGGTCGATATGGCAGTGGCTGGATATCAAAGAGCGACGCGATGCGATGTGGGGAACTCTTACGTTCGCCAACATCCCTCCCTCACGAAATGGGACTTTACATGATATCATCGACTTGGGACCACTTGCACCGCCGTTGACTATGAGTGAGGTCATGAGCACAGTTGATGGGCCTTTTTGCTACTTTTATGCGTAATCACCCAGATGTATGTGCACCACTTTGGCTCATTTGCGCTGGTTATTCATTATCCTTGTAACGTACTGGATTAGGAGGTGCGTTACTTTTACTTCTCCGATGGATAATAGCCTCTGTATGGGTCTTATCACATACGATCAAAATGCATTCTTCTGGTCGATGTTGGAAAGAAAGTGCGTGTTCTGGTTGGACACCGCTTTGAGTCTGCTGGTTTCTGCTTGCATATTCCGCACCGTTTCGGATGTAAAATACCATCTATAACATATGCTTAATCATAATTTCATAATACTCAATAAAGCTTTCTGGAGAAGTTACGGAGTAGAAAGATTCTTATTTTGTTTTGTCCATGTGAAGCCGCCTTGTTAAATAAAAGGCTCTAACCACTGCCCAGAAAAAAAAAGTCACGTGATAAGCCCACGCGTAAATTGGCGTCGCCTTAAATTGTATCCGACGTCACGTAAATCTTTGGCGTTGCTAAATGATTTAGCAGCCGAACACGCGTTGTCGGAGAATCGACATTTCAGCCAACATTCGCACACAAAACCGACATAGGACCGCAAAGTCCATATGTCGCTATGATTTTGGGGATAGCTGCAATTTAAGAACAACAATCACAATGACTTCGACGATGCTGAAACCACTGCAAAAGCGAGTCCTCGGTGATGTTACTATCAATCACCAGAATGTCCTACCGAAGACTCCCAATACTGTAAAGAAGCGGAAGCTGGAAGTCGACCATGCTCCAGGTGGCATTAACCTGTCATCGCAACTTGGCAATCGAAAACTTTTTTCGTCGGGACCTCGTCAATCGCAGCAGAAAAGCCAGTTCGAGGAGGATGTCTTGGAGAAGCTGACGCAAGACATCTCGGGACTCAAAGAAAGCAATGCGGAAAAAGACCAGCAGTGGGCACGGCCAAGTTTAGATGACTTCGATGCATCCAGAGACGTACTTTGCTTTCAGCAAATCGAAGCGGAGGAGGGTACACTTGCAGGGGGTAGGACTGCGGTGAAGCTATTCGGGGTTACAGAGGTATGCAGCCGAAAAACTTCTAGCATGAGTATTTAACTATATATTTTTTATTCTGACCAGGCTGTCTCTTGCTATATTAGAATGGCCATTCGGTTCTTTTACATGTTACTCATTTTCTACACTATCTCTACGTCGCTGCCCCGGTTGCATTTGTGCCAACCGACTGTGAGGGTTTCAAGGCTTATCTCGAGGCACAACTCGAATTCCACCAGCCAGCAATACATTCGGTACAGATGGTAATGAGAGAAAACCTTTTTGGATTTCAGGGAAACCAGAAGAGTCCCTACCTAAAAATCACAGTAACGGATCCACGACATATTAATAAGCTCCGAACTACGATTGAAAATGGTGCGGCGAATTATAAAGGCATGTGGAGGGGCGATGTCGATGGAATTTTAACGTTTGACAATATCGAGTATATTTTACGATTTATGATCGATACAGGTGTGAGTACTTCCCTACTGAGCCTGCGACCTCCCTAATATTCTATATGCTCTGTCTGACTGAATTTCAAGATCTCTGGCATGTCTTGGGTTGAGGCCCCAGCTTCCAAATACGAGCTTCTCCCTTTAACTGAACGTGTTTCCAACTGTCAAATAGAGGCTTCTATACACTATCGTGACCTCATCGCCCATCCTAACGATGGTGAATGGGCAAAAATGGCACCTCTCCGAATCCTTTCGTTCGATATAGAATGCGCGGGTCGAAAGGGTGTGTTTCCTGAAGCGAACCAGGACCCGGTAATCCAAATTGCGAATGTTGTTACACGCTATGGGGAATCAAAACCGTTTGTTCGAAATGTGTTTGTCTTGGACACGTGTAGCCTTATCGTGAATACCCAAATTTTGGAATTTGACACCGAAGAAAAAATGTTAATGGCTTGGAAAGAGTTCTTGGTGGAGGTTGATCCGGACGTTATTATCGGATACAATATTGCTAACTTCGATTTCCCGTACCTCATTAAGCGGGCAGAACATCTCAAATGTAGAGAGTTTCCATTCTGGTCAAGACTGACACAGGTCGCTTCACGTGTCGGCGACGCCAGGTTCTCCAGCAAGCAAATAGGTAACCGCGAATCCAAATCTACTAATATTAGTGGTAGAATCCAGCTCGATCTTCTCCAACTTGTTCAGCGGGACCATCAACTTCGGAGCTACACTCTGAATTCCGTATGTGCGCAGTTTTTGGGAGAACAAAAGGAGGATGTCCATCACACAATGATCACAGAACTTTTCAACGGGACTGCTGATTCGAGGCGAAGGTTAGCCGTCTACTGTCTGAAGGATGCCTATTTACCTCAACGTCTTATGGATAAATTTATGTGTCTCGTCAACTATACCGAAATGGCGAGGGTTACTGGTGTCCCTTTCAATTTCCTTCTTTCCCGTGGACAGCAAGTCAAATTCATCAGTCAATTGTTCCGTAAGGCTCTCGAACAACAACTGGTTATTCCAAATCTACGGAATGAGGCAACAAGTGAACAGTATGAAGGAGCCACAGTTATTGAACCTCTCAGAGCGTACTACGATGTGCCAATCGCAACTCTCGATTTTGCGTCCTTGTACCCCAGTATTATTCAAGCTCATAATTTATGCTATACCACCCTTCTAAAGAAGTCGACTATCGAAGCGCATGGGATGAAGGAAGGCGAAGACTATATCGTAACTCCAAACGGGGATCGGTTCTGTACAGCAAAAGTTCGCAAAGGTCTTCTGACGCAGATATTGGAAGAACTCCTTGGCGCCAGAAAGCGTGCAAAAAAGGAACTTGCAGTGGAAACAGACCCGTTTAAAAAGGCTGTCTTAAATGGAAGACAGCTGGCTCTAAAAGTCAGTGCTAACAGTGTATACGGTCTTACCGGCGCCACTGTTGGCAAATTGCCATGTTTGCCCATTGCCAGTAGCACGACAAGTTATGGCCGTCAGATGATCGAGAAAACAAAAGAAGAAGTGGAAGCTAAATACACCATTGCCAACGGGTATTCTAACGATGCCCAGGTTGTCTATGGTGATACGGACTCTGTCATGGTCAAGTTTGGGACGAAAGATCTTGCAGAAGCAATGAAGCTTGGCCAGGAGGCTGCTGATTATGTCTCAGACAAGTTCATTCGTCCGATCAAGCTAGAGTTCGAGAAAGTGTATTTCCCATACCTCCTCATCAACAAGAAACGGTACGCAGGTCTCTACTGGACGAAGCCGGAGAAGTATGATAAAATGGACACGAAGGGTATTGAAACCGTCCGCAGAGATAACTGTCGTATGGTGCAGACGGTTATCGAAACTGTTCTGAAGAAAATCCTGATCGAACGGGACGTTGATGGTGCCCAAAAGTATGACTATTTATCTCATTTCCCTGGCTGTATATATATATATATATATATATTTTATACTAACCCAGGGGTTTCTCTCAAAACAGCTACGTTAAAAACACGATCTCCGACCTCCTACAAAACAAAATCGACATGTCGAAACTCGTGATCACAAAGGCGCTTTCTAAGAAAGATTATACAGCCAAACAGGCCCACGTGGAACTCGCCGAGCGAATGAAGAAGCGCGATGCCGGCTCTGCCCCGGCCCTCGGCGATCGAGTCGCGTATGTCATCGTCAAAGGCGCCGGAGGATCGAAGAACTATGAAAAATCAGAAGACCCAATCTACGTCCTCGAAAACAATATCCCAATCGACACAAAATACTATCTTGACAACCAGCTCGCCAAACCCCTCACACGTATCTTCGAGCCTATCCTTGGCGAGAAGAAGGCTAGCCAGCTGCTCACCGGCGAGCACACACGATCCATTTCCGTGGCAGCCCCGACGCTCGGTGGTCTGATGAAATTCACGAAAAAAATGCAGACCTGCATGGGTTGTAAGAAGCCCCTGGTAAGCAAGGATGGGAGTGACGGGGCCGTTTGCGAAAATTGTCGCCCCCGACTCGGTGAGCTGTACACCAAGACGCTAACGAAGGCGTCTGACCTGGAGGTGCGGTTTGGGCGTCTATGGACGCAGTGCCAGCGGTGCCAGGGCAGTCTGCACTGCGAGGTCATCTGCTCGAGTAGGGATTGCCCGATCTTCTACATGCGTATGAAGGCGAAGAAGGATGTGGAGGATGCTGAGAAGGAACTATCGAGGTTTGATCATGACTTGGGGGCGTGGTGAGGGTGTGTGGATGGATAACAAGCTTTATTTATTGCTGTCTTGATTATGTGCTGGCGCGTGCATTGGGGCAGAATTATACTGGATTTTACACACACATTGGAGGGTTTTGAAATGGGTCTGTCTACTTTTCCTGCCGCTTCTTCTGCCCCGTTGTTTGTATGGTCCACTGCTGTATGCGCTTTCCTTGTGCTTTGTACGATGAGAGACCCTTTTGCATTGTTTATTTATTTCTATCTACTATGTTACCTATTTCTTTTGCATCCTCTCCAGTCCAGGCTAAGTGGCGATATTTACTCTCCTGCTGGTATGCTCACTTTTCCTCCTCTATTAGTTGCTCAATTCATCCATGACGTCATTTTTATCTTTTTTGCTTTTTATCCTTTTTTCTCTCTTTACTGTTTTGTTTCATTCTGCTGTCGCGATGTGCGCAGCGGCTATGCCATACTCCAAAATACCAAATGGATAGTTTGATGTAACATACGTGGAGGGGAGGGGTAAGAATATGTCACCGATTCCTGTCAAGTCTCTTTCTTACCCAGATACCCTACCGTTTTGTGCCTGCTTGAAGTATGATGTATGAATTAGAGTTCAGTTAGATTGCTTCTCCGTGGTCCCTAAATAAATTTAGTATTTTCTCTTCTCTATACTGATTTCCCTATGCTCTCTTCTACAATCTCCTGCAGACTGGAAACAGATATGTTCTCCATTAGTATTCAGAAGAAGCTGCCAACTTCTGATAAAGCTGCCCTAGCTCTGTATGTTTTGAATTGGATCCGTAGTTCAAACCTGAATGTCCTCTGTTTGCGACTGCGGAAGAACAACGGGTGATATGTATGTTGGGATATGTACAAGCTAGAGCAGATGATGTTAAATATATCTGACGTCATTGGCGTGCTCATCGTCGCAACGGTAGCAAGATAATCAAATTGACGAAATTGGATATCAGCAGAAACGGATTGAAAGAGCTAATAAGTCTCTCTCAGATCACCTCCAAAGATCCCATTTATTTCCATTGGTCTATTCCAGTAAATCCACCTGCCGGCAATTGAACGAAATTGTAGTCTGTTCAAAACCGTTGTGCGATGCAATCGACGGTGCGAAGGGATGGCGATCGCGATCGCGATCTATTAGTCTTCCAAACCACCTCATCTATGATTAGCCATAGCGGTTCCATTCCATTTAGATGCGGCCGTCGGGTTGATTGATATCCAGCCAGCGGCCCGCGGTGCCTGCAGAATGACTTTGTTGGTTAGTAGGAGACTAAAACACGCCAAAGCCGTTGCTAGGGGATTTCGAAGCTTTGACCAACCGATTGGCTGGCACGAGCCTTAGCTTCAACCTCAACTGTGAATTATACTGGATTTTCCATCAACAAACCTCACCAGCAAACATCCTCATACCAGCTAGAAACCTATCAGAAGTCAAATAATCTATGTTGACAGCCTACAGGCAGTAAAATGACCAAACCACAGCCCCTTGAGGTTAGGGCTAAATCTGTGTCGTGGCTCGAGGTGAGGCTCAGCTAATCGTGCTCTGCCGTCGAATCCACTCGACGAAAAAGGGTCGTGGGGATATGCTTTTGCTAATCCAATGCCATTTGCTTTGCGTTTTGTTTTCTGTTAGTTATTTTCGCAGCATGAACTGAACCTGAACAATCATCTCAAGATATGTGGGATGGTAAAACAACATGTTCTCACCGACAGCCCCACGTCCCGTGCCCTCTCGTCCATGGTCGATCGAACACGGGAACTGTTGAGACAGCTGGAGGACATGCGGACTGAATTTGTAACCCTCCTATGCCTGCCAGCGATCACATGTGAGGCGCACGGACTGACACGCGAAAATAGATGCCGCAGCACCCAGCAAGTAAAATCATCTCTGGGAAAACCATAAACAGAGTCAACGAGCTGAGGGCGATGAATAAAAATGCGGACCCTTCTGCATATGGTTCTCTGCCCACGCCATCCAGTGCGCAAGGCGAATATATTCCAACTTGCCTTCCTGGAGAAGATGCAGCTGGGGCACCGCCGCCACCCTTTGTATTTGACAAGCAACCTGCCCAGGTATCCCTCCCACATCACCTGAAAAGGGCCAAAAGGCGTTTCTTGGACTACGATGAGATGGGTGACGGGGACGGCGAACTCACTGTGACAACTGGACCCGCTACTAAACGGAAGAAGCTCCTCTCATCCGGTTGTGGTGAGGCTAGTGATTGGGAGAATGCGTATGCGGCTACTACTACCCGTCGCGTGGAAACAGAGGATATATCAGCAGAGGTTGAAGCGCGACTTAGAGAGAAAGAAGAGAGGCGCCGTCGCAGGGGAGAGAAGCGGGAGATGAAGAGAAAGAGGAACTCCTCAGGCTCAACATTTGGGGGAACTGGAGTGGGAAGCTCGCCGCAGCCCGGGGCCAAAAGATCCAAGCTACGTTCAGTTGCCGGACAGGAGGGAGCCATAGTGACTCCCCCTATGACGGGATATGAGGAGAAAACACGCGAGAAAAGGAGAGGCTCTAGCGGATATCACGACGCCAGCAGCGACTACAGGGGAAGCTACGATGGAGCAATGCACAAGAGGCAGCGGAGGTCATGATCCTATCGTCTAGTGCTGGCTGGGGGTGACGACGGCGATATATATCTTATTCCCCCCCCTCTACCAAGATCTAAATTATATTGGACTCCTTCTCTCCATCCTGCCCTGTTCTCTTCGGTCTACAGATTGGTCTATATGGCACCGTCTGCTCGGTAGGCATCTGGCGGTGGGCGTCCATCCCACCACCGCCATCCTACTACATGCCACCTGCCTGCCACCTGCCGCCCCTGCTGACTGTGTTGCCTCCCTGCCTAACGGTGTTCTCTGCTTACTACAGGATTAAACTCTACCTCCAGCACCCTCTTACTCGCCTCCTTGCAGCTCGGATCTTGAGCTCCTTCCTAAGCGGGCCTGCACCCTCAACGTCCCCCGCCTGCTTCTCTCTTGCCGCCATCGCCCCGGAAAGCATATGCGATACCGATCGCTCCTTCCCCTTTAGAATGCCCCCAATGGCTATGGCATCATTATATACTTTGTCGCCAAACTGTCTCTTACCCGTGGGCGATGTGATTCCCCTCCTTCCTCCTCCCCCCGCCCCCAAGCAATGTTTTGGCTTTCGCTTCCCGGGCTCGCCTGTATAAAAGGACCCGTCTCCCGCGCCTCAGGCCTCTCCTTCCTTCATCTTCTTTACAACATCCCTCGGTCCTTCGCTTGCCCTCACCAGCGGAGATTACGTCAGTCTGCGCTCTCCGCCGTTTCTGGCTCACCCATCGCTTTGCCTGTTGATTACTGATACACTTCACTTGGCAAAATTCTCAGGGGGATTTGCCCCCTAACCAAACCCCCCCCCACCCCTTCTTTTCTCCCCAACGACAGACCGCCCTCCTGACAAATAGGTTTTATTTTCTGCCCATTAATATATTGGCATACGGACTCCCCTTCCCGTTTTGATTATTTTCGGCTATTGTTCCTGCGGCATCGACATTTCTTGGCAGTGTTTTTATCTTGTCTGAACGGTGATTTCAGGGGCAAAACTCTATTCGGCAGAGCTCCTGCAGCAATCATCAAAGGGCATACGGGCATTAGCCTAGGTGTGCTCCCATCAGCGTGCGCTTGATTATCCTCCGCGGTATTACCCATCACTACCGTTGGTTCGCTTGGATCTTTCAGGCATCAGAAACCTTCGAGTAGTCCCGGCAAGGAGAAACAGGAAGCGCTCCTCCCCCAAATACATTCAGCTGCTTTCGACGCTCGACTCTCTCGACGGGATGCCTCGGCCACATGATCGCACGCTTGGGCATCAGTCAGGGGGATTGACTGACGAATCAACCCTATACGTCTTTTCCCTTCAAGGGGCCGTAATGGCTGCGGGCGACTATGCGGACTTCATGGAGAGTATGTGTTACTACCCTAGTGAAAGCACTGTACGTTGAAACTAATATTACTACTCACCACAGCCAATTTTGCGGATCATCCTATGCCCGAGGACGGAGATACGGCAGGCGCTCCCATATGTATAGATGTCGACGACAATGGGGCCAATACGAATTCGTCCATCGGGAGCCTGCCATTGGTTCCACCCATCATTCACCATGCACACTCTGAACCACCTGACCTGGAAGATGTCCCCGATCTCATCCCCGACACTCCCGTCCACGAGCCAATCCAGGAAGTTATGCAACGAATTGAACAGCCAAACCAACGTCAATTTGATCCGCTTGATCTGGAGATTATCCCTGACCCCATACCTGAACTTCCGGTTCACGAGCCAATCGAAGATCTTGTACAGCAGCTCGAGGAACGGCATCAAGCGCAATTTAATACAGTTGACCTGGACAATGACTTTGATCTCCTTTTCGGTAATCAGGTCATCGACCCGATGGAGGATGCTATGGAGCAAATTGAGCAGGTCCAGCATGCACACCCCGAGCCGATGGACCTGGAAAATGCTCCCAATCTTTTACTCTTCGAGCAGACGACGACCAAAGAGGGAATTCCGGAAGTTGTGCAGCAACACGATGAACATCCGCAAGCCATCGTTCTGTGCGATGAAACACAATCTGTTAATCGTGTGGACGTCAATCCCCTAGTCCAGGACAGTCCGATGAACGATTCCTGGGTCGTGGATCGCAGAGAAATATCAACGCAGGAAATGCATAATCCAAATCGTCTGAGTCCCATCGCAGAAGAACCGTCCACTCCTGTAAAGAAACCACCATATACTCCTCCACCAAAGGCTGGCCTACAACCAGGAGCAAGACAGCTATTCACCCCTCCATCTACATCACCCGACACTCCTCCATGGAACACCTTTCGACGAAGAAGAGAATTCCAGCGGAGGCAGTCACACCTGGCCTCCTCATCTAGCATCGATGGCCCGCCTCCTAAGAAGTACAAAAGCAATCTCACCGCATCGCTCAAATGCTTTACCAATGAAAGACGTCAGGGGGATCCGGGCGCCTTTACTGGCACGTGGTACGAAAATGCGGAGAAAACTCCCACCAAGCGCATGAGTTATGTTAAACTTCTGCAGGAGGAAGAGAATGCCGCCAGTTCCCGCTAAGCAGAATTGGGTGTGAAACTTCAACCCTTTTAAATGTTTTCCTTCTATTTTTTTCTTTCTTTTTCTTTCTCACTCGCTCGCACGTTTGCACTGCGCCAATGCTTCTGTTTTCTGCACGCACCGAGTTCTTGTACAATGATCTGTTTTCATTCAAGAGGATATCTGGATTCTGGCAGGAGCTGGATGTACTCGGGGCAACTCGAAAAACCTTCAATTTTGTTTCACCCCCCCGTTTCGCAAGTTTCGCAAAGTTTTCGCAAAGAATGTTTAAATTTGTTTTTTTTTTGTTCAAAGACAAGAACTGCATGTTAAAGTGAGGTTTCTATGGATATGGACTGGCGTTGTAATGGTTGGGAGGAGGTTAATGGGCGTTTTTTAGTGGTCTCTGGGAATCCGTTTACGGTTGGCAAATCGGAACAAACAGCGCTTTGAACTGGAACTCTTCAGAATCTTTTTCAGATGGGCCTGTATCGCCAATATTTTTGTATGGGAATGTCGCTGTTGGTTAAAGGTGTTTGGAAAAGGGGAAATGAACAAGATTTTCCCCACAACTCTTTTCTTGCATAAATATCCACGTTGGAGCGTTAAACCAGAGGAGTAGAATTCCAACGCTATGTACTTTTATATCCCTAAACTGCATTGTAAATATTGTACAACTAGAAGTTATCTAAGGCTAAATAATCATTCTGCCACCCAATTGGTTGATGCTGGGTAGCTTACACCATTGAGGAGCCTTCATCTCTACTAGACCACAACTATATCAAATCCATATATATACATCCATAGTGGAGTTCATCGTCAAATGGCAATAGCGGAAGGTATTGGTAATAAACCTAAGATTGGGTGCTCTAATTAGCAGTCTGAAGGTGCGAGAAGACATCCAGGAGAATCTCCATCTGCAAAGATTCACCAACAATGGGATTCAGCTGGTGGTAATAGATGTTAAATAGTATATCTCGGTCACATATGCGCATCCGTCTCTCTGTACGGGTGCTGGTATTCGACATCCGGGAGGCCGACAGAGTAGACAGCCTCATGCAGGCAGACAATCCCATCCACCGGCTAGACATCCTTATTTCCGCCCATCCCACCTCTTCTCTTCGTTACCCCCTCTCCCTGTTCCTCACCCATCCGCTCGCTGTCGTCTTTCTTCCCCCAATTCCACACCTCCCAAATATGCTCTTTAATCAAATCCCCATACCCCTTCCCCTCAGCCAACGCCCGCTGCTCCTCTCTAAGCCTCCGTTCCTTCCACCCCTCCTTCTCCCCGCCCATCCAGATTTTCTTCACAATATTCATCTCCCGCTCCCCCCCGGGTCTTCGCGTTAACCTCTCCTCCAGCTCCTCCCCCACAGCCTTCCCATCGCGTATCTGTTGTGCCTCCCTCGCAGCCCGCAGCTGCGCCTGCACGGCCTCAGCTTGCAGCGTAGGCAGCTCGCGCAACACACTGGGCCGACCGTGGTCGACCATACGCGACTGTATATGTCCTATTATACCCCTCCCTGTGCGGACGGAGGAAATGTGATTTGCGGAGACGACAAAGGCCGCTCCAAGGCTGAATGTGTAGAAATCGAGTTTGCGGGGCGGGAGGGCAATGAAGACGGGCGAGGCGATGAGGAAGGTATAGGCGGCGAACTTTTTGAATTTCTCATACTCCGCTGCTCGGTTGCGCGGGGGAGAGGACGCTGTGGATATGCTTGGTGTTGGCGGTTGCGATAGGGAGGCAGAGTCAGTCGGCATTGTGAGGAGGCACTTCTACCCCCTTGTTGTACGGAGCTTTAGCCCGATAACTATTGTGATATTATTATATCTTCAGAGGTTGCTAAAGCCTTGTTCGCTCATTCGGATCGATCGCTGGCGGAGTGTTAGTTGATCAACCGGTATGAATGCAGTCTGAATGGACAAATAGCTTTTGAATAAGTTTCATGAATTTGAGAGAATATTGGTGGGTGAGAAAGAAAATAATCGATGACAGAATAATGGTCAATGAGCTTGTCTTCTTATTTCCACGAGCAGCAATACGGTTACAACGCCTGTTTCCACGGAATGCGACGCTGAGCACTTCTTACACACGGCATTCATCGTTCGTTCCAGCAGACGTAAAATAATGCGGCTTTCCTGTATGATTGAGAATATCAAAGAATCATCCGAGAACTATCAATTGATAAGTTCAATTTCAATCCATCCCGTCCCTTAGCCTTGGTTCCACATGTAGTTAATTTCCATTCCCCTTCACCACCCTCCAACCATCCGTAACTAACTATTTTAACTTCTCCCCCAAAGTTCAATCTTCTCTTCCGCATCATTTTCCCATCGCACTCCAATTATGGACGTATATTTCGCTGCTGATTGACGAGCAACATTTGCTAAAAGTCGGATAAACCGTTTTCAGATCTATATTCTTGACATGCATACCTGCCTTTAGGTCTGAATCACCCCTTTGTCAATCGACTTTCTTCAAGTCAATTCCAGCTTCCTCTGCTGAGATGGTTCTATACCTGACGGAGCCATCTTCGTTTTCTCCATCTGCCCCGATCAGTCCTGCGGATATCTCGTCCATGATGGCAGCGTAATTTTTATCCTTGTTTATCTTGCAGCGCACAGGGGCCGATTCACAGTGGGCGGTTAGTGCCGTGACGCTCTTGAACATGCGCAGGCAACTGGGGCAGCTAGATGGGGAAATCATGTTAAGACACTGATTTCTTGATTTCGAGAAGCTCATTATTATTATTTTTTTTTTATTTTTTTTTATTTTTTATTTTTTTTGTAAAGGGGTTTATGTATTGACCTAAGCAGATATGGACAGTGGTCGAAGCTAAGAAATCGGGCGGTGCAAAGTGATTGGGAGACGGGAGAGGAAGATTCCATACCGAAAAGCGCCAGCCAGATGGATACTAGACTTAATATGGCTGTTGAAGTCTTTCTCAGTATTAAACAGTTTGTCGCAGATGCACATCCACTTCCCAATAGCCTAGCTGAAAAACTTATTGGCATCCCATGGCTCCCGTCTGCGTTTCTCGCCGATCTCTCTTCCGCCAGACGCATTGGATGTGACGGATCGGCTCTGCCAGGTTGCCCAGCTCTTTACAGGCACTTCTGAAGCTGACTCATTGATGCTGCCCAGAATGGAAGTCTCAGGCTCTGGGGTTGTAGACAAATTGCCGGTGTTGTTCTCATGATGATACTTCCTCCCAGGTCGTTCCTTATCACGGTTATGCTCCACGTCGGAAAAGGTCATCAGGCTCCGCTCCTCGGGGTCCATTTCCACATCGTGCTTCTCCCCAGGCGAAGGCCAGAGGCTCATACCGCGAAGTTGCATCGAGACAGCCTCAGTTCCCCAATTCACTACCGGGTGTATCGATTGATTTTCTGCTTGAAATCTCAGTGGCAGTCGTCATCTCTTGCGAATCCGAAAGGGAAACCTGAACCCCGCCGTCCACGCTAGACGCGTTGGATGGATCCTGAATCATGAGACCCCGTTCTGCAAGACATTTTTCGACACGTTGCTCCTTGTATCGCAGCGCAGAGAAACCCGTACACTGGTCATTTTCTATGTGACCCATGTATGCTTGGGCACGGCTGAATTTGCCAGAGCAAAAAGTGCAGACCATCTCCTGATTGGCCGGGTGAAACTGAAGAAATATACGTGTCAGGAGTGGTTTTCCTCTTCGCAAATTGTGCAAAGCAGTGACACGCAGTAATGAAAGGGGAAGAAATGAGCGCGAGGTTGTTTTGACAACAAAAAGCAGAACATTTCCTACCTGAGCAAAATGGGTGTTTTTACCGCCATCGCTTTTAAACTCCTCTCCACAGACAGGACACACAATGTGTCTGTTGCTCTCAAGTTTGTGCGCTAGCAGTTCTTTCTCTCCTTCGAAGTCCAGGTCACAACGAGTACAGTATTCATGGTCAGGAGACTCCATTTTATGCTTTCGAACCTGCTTCTGAGTGTCGAAGGAACGGTTGCACATGTTGAAGGTGCATTTGAACTTGGGATCCCTTTTATCGGACGCCATAGTGCCGTGAGTCGTCGATGGCTGACTTGATGATGGTGTGTGTGTGTGTGTGTGTATGTGTGTGTGTGTGTATGTGTTCAGCTTGGCAGCAAGGTACGATAAAGGGATAAGAGAGTGCTACACAGAGAAGTATTGGGGAACAGAAAATTTAATACGAAGAGAGTAGAGGCTCAGCGGGAGAAGCCACCATGAGATAGATCACACGGGAGAGGTGGAGAGTTTGAGATCTCAGAAGTATAATCCCCGGATGTTTTGATGCTTGTGAGCTGAATTGAAGAAACTACAGCAGTATTGTTTGTGATTAGTTGTTATCTTCCCATAACTACGTAGTAACCATGTAAACAACAGAGACTCTGACAACTATATCTCAGTGATGTGCAAAAACATGAATCTCGGCAATAGCAGTCCGCATACAGAGCAGTCAGCACATTGTAATCTCACTGATGCTTCTGCTGACGTTCATTTCTAAGCACAGCTTTTTTTTTTTTCACTCAGAACCGCGAATAAGGGAGCCTAGTTCAGTTTGTCAGTTCAAAATATTCATCAACCCCTTTCTGACTCTTCTGATTCATGAGGATTGATGAAGAAAGGAACATAAAAATAAAATGAAATGAAATGAAAAATGACAGCAATATCCCATGAAATAAAGAATACAATTCACATACCACTTCCCTCTCCATGTAACAACCGCCCAATTATTCCCATCAAGATCTGTCTCCTTCTCCACCTTCGTCGAGAATGAAATGGCACTCATAATTCCATCTCCAAACTTCTCATTCATCACCGCCTTGTAGGCATACCCATAATTCTGCACAATCTCAAACAGGCGATAGATTAGCGGGTCCTTGGGCGGGAATGTCATGGATTTGCCCCGGTCCGGGAACCCGCTCAGAAGTGACTCTAGATAGAGATGGTCGATGCCAAGAACCTCAGACAGTTTGACGATGTCCTCCGCGGAAGCTTTTGCTTGTCCGTAGAAGATAGCTGCGGTGGCTACTTCATTCCGGCCAATGGCGGAGGCGATGGCTTCGAAGGAGAGCTTCTTTTTGGCTTTGGCTTCGAAGAGGACCGCGGAGGATGAAGGGAGATTGGGATGCTCGGAGATCTAGAAGTTAAACATGTCAATTTATGTGTCACTTTGTTCTACGGAAGAAAGATGGTCTTTTTGGTGATGATGCCTTACGTCGAGTGTTGCGAGGTTGATGTTTGACATCGTATCTTGTAGGTTACGTTAGGAATTTTATGGGAATGGCGTTTGTGATGTTGGATTGACAAAGTGAGACACGAATAGTGACGATTTTCCTTTCAATAAGCACTCCTCTTTGCTTCTCTAAAACCGGGGCCTGCGGGGGCATATATTAGAATCGAGATCGATTCTATTACTAAGAATTCTGTAACAATTGGTGACGGTTAACTAATAGCAACATGTATTTCTCCAACTTATTTCATGGCGCGGGGTGCATTGGAAGAAGGTGAGGGGGGAAACAAGAAACAGGGCCAGTATTTGATTCGCATCTCATGATTCTAATCACAAGAAATACAAAACTGCATTTATAAACACAAATGAATTATCTCTCATCTTCATCTCATCTCACCCATGTAAAAATAGTTAGCTAAAGCGTTTTTTTGCTCGCTTGGTGCGAAAAACATATGATGTCATTTACTGCTTTAAATGGCCCTTTTATTTGGTTCATTTTTGATTAAAGACTGAGAAGATGGGTCTTCTGCAAAATCAACCTCCCAACGAAGCGTGTTGAACGTCTGCGTCCGACGAATACATAGCACCATTGTGATTTGACGTACTGTATTCTTTTTCTGTCTTTGGAGTGGGCAGACATACCGTTCCAAGAGCGGGTAACATCCTGAAAAAAAGCTAGTGTTCGCGTCCAACTTCTTAAAAAACCAGTCTAAGAGCACAAGATATCAATGCCTCAAGTAGCACGTATCCCATAATTGTCTGTGTAGGTTTCGTCCCAGATGGCGTCAGTCTTCTCAGCATCATAACCTTGCACATGATTCTTTAGCCTCCCTGAAGCAACTCGGAGCAGTCCCTTCCTCGAGTCGACAACCGGACTGATCCATCGGGTTTCTCCGTTCGCTTCTTTTGGACGGACCGGGAAAGATGTCGCGCTCATTCCCGTCGGCTTGCAGTTGACATAGATATTCTCCCAATTCCCTTTAGGGACGACATAGGTCTCGTGATAGATGCCGACTTGGGGATTGTCCGCAACTACCTTCGACCACCACTTTACTCCACTCATGTGCTCAGGTCCGTGTGAAAAATTGTGCAGTGATTCAAGATCCCGGAAGTACATGACGCTCATAGTCTCATTGGCAGTGTGTTCCATTCCGCCTATCCAGAGTGACATGCCTAGAAAGCCATATTCTTCAGAGGAAGATTCCAGCGCTGCTGCCATAGATTTAAAATAGTCGATTACTTTCTTGTATACGCCATCGAAAACTCCGAAGGGATGGTTGGATTTGGCTCCTATGATGAATACGACAACGGACCCATCTGCAGGTGTCGAACCGAAGGATCCATCTTCACGCGGCATTTGGGCGCCGAATTTTGTCAGGTATACCCCTGAGAGATAGCGGTTCTTCTTCAAGCCCATAGCCATGAGAACATGGTCACACGTGCGGTAGGCAAGGATTATTGCAGCTGGTATGAGAGACACATATCCACACAGCACTATGGCGATACCCTGGAGTATTCCGCCGAACAATAGCCATGTGCTGATTGTAAAATTATCGCGGATTCCAGCTTTGACAGAGGACTTGATGGAAACTGCGAACTGGGAAAGGGCTCGCAATTTTTGCGGCGAGGAAACGGGCTGAAAAGAAATTTGGGCCATTTGTGGATCGCGGGTTATTACGTGTGGCAAGCACGTTAAAGTTGGTTGATCGGAAAAGGTTGGATGGAATCCAAATAGTTTCGGGATGGATATATAAATATTCTTCAAACCCCACGGCACGGAGCCTTTGTATGTCTAACAAATAAGCAGAGATCGAAGGGCTCTTTTTTTATTTCGCCGGAGAGAAATCAAGGATTTCGCCCAGGTCTTTTATACTCGCCCATTTGACAGCGCATGCAGGGGGCTAATCCACTGGGGAGAGATGCAGGTCTTTTGTCACCGAACGAGTTGGGATCCCAGCCGCAGCACACTAACGGAGGAGCTGGACCTGTTTGAGTTAACTAGCTTGCCAGCCGGGACTGGAACGGATTCTGGAGGGTCCCCGTAGATGCCGTTATCAGGAAGACTCCTCCACAACTCTTTGCACGGGCGGGAACACTTTTAACTCATTGTTTTGTTGAGCGTTTCAGTTTCTCCTTGAAGAAACTCTCTCGAGTTGACGTCAAAGAGCCGTAGTTTGAATGAGCCGTTCAAAGTTGTGCATATCTAACAGTTACACGGTGCGCTTCGTTGTCGCTGATCCCAGGTACATGAATGTAATATCCTTCGATGAAAGAAAGTTTTAAGTGGATAAAAGGGATTATATTTCCCCCTTTTCCCCATTAAAAGGGGGTTAGGGCTATGATGATTTCTGACTTCGTCAAGTGAAGTCATCGACTTTCTGCCTGGAATCCCCCATCGAGGACAGCTGTTGACATTTAATTTCCGGGCGTCTTTGCGCGTCCAATGACTTGGATGAGTGGGAGAAAACGGCATGGTCTGTAAGCGTAGACCTATAGGTAAGGTTCTGTACAGATATAGGGTCAGGGTGTTTGCTTGTAGCTCTGTAATTTTTGTTAACTCTTCGATAAGAAGCTGGAGTCTTCGGAAACTTCTGCAAATACCAGCGGAGAAATATCCCTACCATCCTCAGCTCACTCAACCAAGTTTGGTTAAAAGCATGTCAAGTGATGCATCTCTATACAATGGCTCCCGAATCATCAATAACATGCCCGACTTTGGTATTATTAATCGAGCAGGAAAACCAGATCTCATAGCTTGTTTCACGCACTTGCAATTACCCATCCTCTTATTGCAAGAGACACTCCTCTTGTTTGAAAGATATATGGTGGATATCTAAACTCGACGATTCTGTGGAGAAGATGGAAGTTTCACTTGCCACCTGGTGTATAATCTGATTTGGTTATGAGGATTATGTATTCCTCGAGACAGTTCACGAATTGGCCATGGAACGAAGACAACATCGGACCCGGCAAGTTGGGCGTGGCGGAATTCCAAAATCCGGATTCGGGAACTTGGAGAGCCTTGTAGCGGCCACTGTATGTTTGGCAGAACTGAGATATGAGGATAACAGGTCTAATCCAATAATAATAACACAACCCTATGGTGGACAGGTGTGTGTTCTTTGTTAACGGATTCCATGCCCACCAAATCTGGAAATATAAATGTTCAAAATCGATGTGATAACACGTACTTTACTTGTCTCACGGGAATATTCTAGAGAAGTATCGCCTCCATGGGTGAGAATCTTGGGAAGAAAACACGGCCTTTTCGACGGAATCGGCTGAATACCGCCTCTTCTCACCCACAAAAGTCGATATCACCGCAGTCTATGTTTCCGTAGGGTATTCAGTCGACTTCAGCTGGATATCTAGACCTGTGCATGCATCCTCTTTTCAGAGGAACTGCTCCTCCAGCCTGCAAGAGTGGGCTCTGGATTGAGTTGGATTGTCGGAGTGTGGAATTCCTCTGCAACATGTGTTATCTCCACCCTATTTACTCAATCTACAATCTAACTAAGAGAGAGATATTGAGAGACATTTGACGACCCCGTGTGTGGATGAGTGTTCAGCGAATTATGAGAATATCAATATTTTTCCATCAAGAAATGGGTAACTAGGATGTAACGTCCGGAGTGATTTTTTGCTTGGGGCTGTCGATCGCTATCCATCATCTTTGAACGTAACCAGATCAGCAAGCAGCAAGTGTAATTTCATTGGCCGTCAGAGAGGTTTGCAAATCGACAAAAGCTCAGACCGAACGGGGCCCAACACATTTCATTTGGAGTGCTTTCAATCGCGAATATGAGGTAGATGCAGATGTTGAGATTCGGAAAACTGATTTTGATATTAGTAGCAGCGGCGACGGAGACCACAATTTCAATTCCGTAGATTGGCACAATCCAGCCATTTAATACAGTGCCTCGCCATAAGTTTGCATGCCCCGTAAAGGGGCGGTAGAGTATGTATATGCAATGGACCCGAAGTTGGTTGGTATGGTACGGTAACACTAATCTGTGGACAGATGCAAACTTATGGCGCGGCACGCACTGCAGAGCTGCGAAGGATGGGGATAATGTAGGTAGCTCCTGTGAATATCTTTCATCTAGCGCCAGATGGTCAAGATAGCCTTGCGGAGGATGACACAAACACTAGGTACGCGGGGGTTGTGAGGATTGATAAAAGGATAGAGAGGAAGAAAAAAAAAAAAAAATTTCTCGGCTGCTTTTGGTCCGCCCCTGCGTCAACTCTAATCATACAAACTATCTTGTCAATCTCATCAGCTCAGCATCGAAAAGAATTCATTGAGAATCGCAATTCCACACCCTCAACCTTTGTTACTCCCACCCTTCCTCCCTCCCCTGACACATAATTCCCCTTAAATACTGCATCAAAACCTCTCCCTCCCTCTTCGCCGCAACCACATTCTCCCCGCCCTTCCCATCTTCTCCCCCAATCCGATCCCTAACCCACACCTCCACCTTATTCAATCTCCTCACCTCCAACAATGGCTTCAACCATTTCGCCCCCGTTGACCGATCCAGATACTGCCCTTCATAGTTCATACAAAAGCCCAATTCCACCAAACCCTCCATCTTTTCCTTAACAAGCTCCCAAAACTCCTCGTACGGCTCATCCCATAATGTATACTGCTCATACTCCGCATAACCAGCTCCTCCAGGACGCACAGGCGCCATTGTCAGGCACGGAAGGCCCACCCAGGTACTCCGCAGCCGTTTGACGAGTGCCAGATGTCGTGCTGATACCATGCGCGCAAATAGGAGCCAGGTCGTTAGCTCTGCGGCCTCGAAGGACATTTCGCTGTACAGCATTGCGGATGCCTCGTTGTAGAGCTGCTTGTTGGTGTATAGGATGGCGGTGGGCAGACGAGTGAGGAAAAACTGGGGCGTGCCTGCAATGGGCTTGTTCGTGTTGCCGTACTGTAATGCCTGGGCATATGTATAGCTTAGTTCTTGCAGCCTGCGGTCAACTAGAGCGGAGTGCTGGCAGCAGGCATGGTCGACATGCGGGGTGGATTGGCTGCAGCGGACGAGGTAGAGTTTGTCTTTTAAGTGGAAAAGGTGAATAGCCAGGTCGCAGTTGAAGAGAGTGTAGTAGATTTGGTTGCGGATCTCGGGTGGTAGAGAGAGGAAGGGAAAAGGGGATTGGTTATTGCTGCCGCTGTTGGTGCCATTTTTGCGGTTAGGGTGATACATTGATTGGGATTTTGGGGATTTTTGGAGCTTTTGCTGGTTCCTTGTCAAGTTCAGTTTGAGAGAAGGGAATTTCCCAAGAAATTTATGCATTGTGCAGTTGGTGTCTCGGAGCGACTATTCGTGGTGTCGGGATGCTTGCAATTGAATTGGGGAGTATCTTCCCAGTGGAAAGGGGGTTTGGGAGCAATTGATTCGGGGTTTGGACATCAGTTTGCCAAGCAATGATGCCTAAGAATCAAGCTCACTGCAGCATCCAAACCAGGGGTATGGTGGTAGAGTTTGGTACTCCCCCCGCCGTGATTCAAACGTCTCCGTCAGCAAGCAATGTTGGAATGAGAGTCAACCGCCCTCGGATTGTATCCCCGACCGCTTGCTGTCATACCGACTGGACGTAGTATGGCAGAGCAGAATAGAGCCTTCCAGCGCGTGTACGCTAACCGTGCTACACACATCCCAGCGAGCATGGTAGCCTTCGGAAAACGTTATGATATATATACCTATATCGCTCACTTAGATACAATGGATGGAGGAGGATTGGGATGTTCTAGGTTGTAGCAATGGGCGACAATCCTCAAATGGTGATAATAATTAACTTCATATCTTGTCCTCTGAAGTGCTAATCCATTTATCTCCTAGCTCTGAAATATGCGCATACGGAAGTCATTTTTAGACCCATATTTTTATCCACAATGGCCTTCTCAAGCTGGTATCGAGAAACGCTTGCAATACAAATTCGGGGTTAGCCGTTTTTACTTCGTCAGTGTTGACAACATTCGATAACTTTAATATTCTCGGTTTCACATGGACCAGACTCACTCACCCTCGCCCTTTGCTGTTAAAATCCCCATGCATAATTGGTTGAGATGGCCCTGGACCTAATGTAAGGATTTATTTGTGTATTAGCCTGGATGAGTGACAACCACCACTCTACGAAATATATGTGAAATCCTCTCCAAACGACTGAACCTGTCAGTGGTTGTTGCTGGTAATGAAGATATATGCCTAGCATCAGGAGAATCCAAACTGATGTTTAAACTAGTTATTCGATGCGAATCCCAGTCAAGCTGAAAATCCGCAATTAGGTGGGTGTCGCACGCTGCCGGATTGCGTGTTTCCCTCGCAGGTGTTTCGAGTTGGTGTAGTTTTATGCTCCATGAATAATCAACGTATCTTGACAGCGTAATCAAATTTGAAGAAGATGAGCCCGCGGAGAGTAGAACATGGCTCTGCTCCTTGCTGTCAGTAGCTAGCGAATAATTTCTTTCTTGCGAAGCCGGGTGGATGTTGACGCCACACGTTGCAGTGGCTGAGCAAGCCACCACCAACCGCCCCCTCTCCCCTCCTTCTCCCCCCCACTTCGCATCATACGAGATGGAGAACCACGGAGCCATATATATAAAACAACAGCACTCCTCCCAATTTGCTTGCTTCCTTTATCACCGTGAATATCCAGTTTGCACTCTTAGTTGAGCAATGCGGTAGGCTGTTCATTCATCTCTATTGTTGGTGGTACCCGTCGAACCTGCACAGTATCAACTTGGCAAGTTTGAGCGCATCGTGCTCGATCTGCTGCCCCGGCCTAATTTAAAGTCACCCGCAGTTTGCCCTTAGGCATGTCCGGAAAAGAAGACCCTCTGGCCTACGGTCATCATGGGGGGCAGGAGGAGTCCCAGAGAGGTTCTGGTGACGGAGGAAGGGATAGGAGTATCTTAAGCGATACTCTGGGCAAGTTCCGTGATAAATATAAGACTTACTCCGGTTCGTCTGGTTCCCAGCAGCCATATCAACAATCGCATTTCGATACACAAAGCGGGCCTCAGGTAGGGATTCCGGAAACCGTACTGTTGTAATTAGTGCGATATACGAAGTGTTGATTTTGTTTTCACGATGTTGATGTTGATGCTTATTACGTTCTGCTGACAAAGTTCCAGGGGCCATCCGGCTCCCATGGCTATGGACAGGCTTTCCAGCAGTCTCCGCAACCTTACGCCACACCTGGCCAGCAGCCGCAGAATCCTCCCTACTATGGAGCAAAACCACCCAAACCTGATTTGGTAACTGGTTTGCTCGGCAAGATCCAGGACATTGGCTCTGGTGTAGCTCAGAAGATTGGCTCTAGTCTGGACCCCCAGGCGTACGCCCAGTATGGCCCACCTCCTGCAAATGCGCATAACCGATTTGGTAGCTTTGCTCCTCCGAGGGACCATTGCGATGCCAAGTGGTATGTTGATGGCTGTGATTATATGTGGGCAGTCTCCATGGCATTGGAGACTGCTAGGGAGTCTATTTGGATCTTGGATTGTAGGTGATTTTGTGACGATACATAAACTCTACATCTTTGATTAATGTTATTTGTTATCTATACAGGGTGGTTGTCCCCAGAACTATATCTGAGACGCCCTCCTGCGAAAAATGAGCAGTACCGCCTCGATCGAATGCTTCAGGCTGCTGCTCAGCGGGAAGTTCGCGTCAATGTGATTGTGTATAAGGAGGTGACCCAGGCGTTGACCAGTAAGTATTTAACTCTGCACCCCAACTCCATAGCTATGGATGTCTGTCGAATTTAGAGCCGACAGATGATTGATTGCTCCGTAACAGTGTCTTCTTCCCACACCAAACATTCCCTGCAAAATCTTCACCCAAATATCGCTGTGTTCCGCCATCCAGATCATCTCCCCGATAGGCAAACTATCCATTCTTCTGTTCTGGATTCCTTTAAGAATTTGACTCTCGATGCAGCTGGGGTTTCGAAGCTTTCTGGAGATGCCTTGAAAGGGTTATACGGCATGAGTGGTGACGTTGTCCTTTACTGGGCTCATCACGAGAAACTTTGCCTTGTTGACGGAAAAATTGCGTTCATGGGCGGTCTTGATCTATGTTACGGGCGTTGGGATACCCATCAACATGCCCTCTCTGATGTCCATCCAAATGACATCAGGGAGACTGTATTCCCTGGGCAGGATTATAACAATGCCCGTGTTCTGGACTTCAATGATGTGGTTAATTGGGAGAATAACAAACTTGACCGCAAAAGCAACTCCCGAATGGGATGGTCTGATATTTCTGTCAGTTTACACGGCCCGGTCGTTGAGGATCTGCGAAAGCATTTCGTTGAGCGATGGAACTTT